AAATAATAAAAAATATAGGAATAATATTAATAAGCGAGGAGGACAAATTAAAAAAATAATAAATATTCAGACAAATTTAAAAATAAACTTTATATTTTGAATCAGACTATTCTCTGGAAATAAAATTTATATATAGAATAATAATCTGATAAGATCTACTTTATGCGTGGCGAATCTGAGAAGATCTTTCTTTAATAATCTGCATGGATCAGACATTTGAAAAGAAATTCTGGTAAAAAAAAAAAAAGACATTTGAAAAGAAAATCTGGGCAGAATTGAATTTGGTTTAAACAGGGTGTTAATTTAGGAATGGAAATAGGCAGCATGGGAGACTTTGGTTAAGTAGCCCGAACCCATATGCAGGTTTTTTTTTAAAGACTCAGACTTGAGCTTTCAAAAGATCTAATAGCTTAAAAAAATTTTAAAAACTACTTACAATATGAATTTTTTTTAAAAAAACTCATGTTTCAAACTTTAAAAGCCTAAATAGGTTTAAGACCTACATAAATATAAGCTTTTGATATATTTAAAAATCCATATATTTTAATATATATTAATAAAATAAATTTAAAAAAAATTAATTTTAAATTTAAAAGCCTTATTTTAAAAAGACTTCTAGGCCTTAGGCGGATCTATTTGCCAACTAATCTGTTTTCATCTTAGATGTTATCGGAAAACTGGAAAGAGAATATTTAAAAAGAAAGGAAGAGAGGAACAGTGCATAGTATTGATCTCGTGTATGATTCAATTCTTAAAACATACATATACACGATTCAACAATTTAATTCGCAAAATTTGAAATTAAATGCACAATCTAGTTCCTGAAAAATAAATTTTAGACTTGTGCCACTTATTTATGCCGATAGACTAATGAGTTGTCAATAAAAATTTTACAAAAACAAAATTATTTGAGTTTAAAATGCAAGGATATATATAAAAAAAATAGTTGAGAAAAAAAATCCTTCATTGATTTTTTTTAATTTATCTTTTTTTTTCTTCTTTTACATAGGAAAAATAGTATAAAAAAAAAGACCGTCAAAATAAAAAAAATTATAAATAAGGACTCATAATAATATTAGTATGGGTTTTTTATAATAATTTTTATAAACAAATCCTTATGTGTAATTTTTTTATTTCAGCGGCATTTTTTTTTCTTGCTATTTTTTCTTTTACATGTGCACTAAACGTTTCTATGGCTGGAATTGGCCCTCCGCTTTCCTTCCATCAGCATTAAGGGTGTGTTTGGATAGAATTCAAACCATAGTTTTAGAAGTGCTTTTACGGATTACGAAGTAAATATGTGGAGGAGATTATCTCGTTTTGCGGAAAAGTGCTTCTGAAACTACGGTTTGGGGATACCCAAACAGGCCCTAATTCTTCCTACCTGCCCGAGGTGCCGTCCGTTGCACAAGGTCGGGCGGCTTTAATGTTTATTTATGAGTACGTTCTGATCTCTCAATCCTCATCTCCAGCGCACGGCCTTTCTATGGTGTCCAGTGATCCACCTAGCTAGCCCAGAAACCTTGCCTGATCAAATGAAATCATGTAAAATTTCAAAAAAAAAAGAGAGGCGTGCTGCTTAACAGTTATGTCGCATTAATGTTGGCGCCTTAGTGGGGTTCGGATCCACGTCTGCCCCAATTTATTAACACTGATGTTGCGCAGCCACGACACACAGGTACTACTTCCTTTACCTAGATAATTAATTTAAAAATATTAAAAAAATTAAATTAGTTATTTATAATAAATAATTGTGATATTTTTTAAAATATTTTTATTAATTATATATATTAAAATAAAAATGATTTAACATATATATTTATTATGAAGACTACTTATTTACTATGAAGACTACTTATAAATATAAGAAATAAAGTAGTTTGAAATTTTATATTTAATGTTAAATTGAATATTTAACTGGTTTTTATATTTGGAACTGAAGATAATATGTTGCATTTTATTTTTGTATGGATCTAACATTTTATATATAGATAATACTTATATTAAATTTCTTATATCTATTATGTCAAGTCCTCTAATTATACATGACTATGTGTTTTATTTTTAAAATATTAATATTTAATAACATGTGTTATTAAAGAACCTGACACAATGAATATAAGTAATTTAAGCAAAGTTTTTTATATTATATATACTCCTAATTTTATTCACTCAAAATATTTTAAACTTTAAATTTTATTAATTCTGTTTTAAAATTTAATAACTTTCGAGTTTTACCCTGAGAAATTAGAGCACCAGCTTGTTTGTGTTCTGTCTAATGAGAATGTTACAAGTCAGACATTTTTAATCCCACATGTCGGCCAGCTATTTTCGAATGTTCTATTGTTTTTAAAAATTAAAAACGCCTTAGCCGTGGTAAATTTCTCAGGCTGCCCTTCGCTTTCCTCTTTCTTGACGTGCCCCCTCACTCCGTCCCTTCATTGACGGTCTTCCTCTAAGGGTGTGTTTGGGTGACACCCCAAACCATGGTTTGGGGACCCAAACCATGGTTTGGGGTGTCAATCACCCAAACACCCCCTCTAAAAACCAAAACCATGGTTTTGGGTCAAAACCATGGTTTTGACTCCAAAACCATGGTTTTGGAAAAAGCAAAAATTTTTTGCTTTTGGAGAAAAAGGGAGAGTGTGAGAGCCTATATGATATGTATCTTGTTATTTTTTTTTATAAACATATTTTTTGATAAACATATTTAATCTTATATTTTATAAATATATATACACATTAATTATTTATTAATTATATTATCTTATGTATTATTAATTATGTTGGTAAAAAATATATTATTAACAATTTTATTCCTTCAAATTAAAATATATCATAAAATCTATTTTTTCTGTAATTATCATATTAACTTATGTCTTTTTTTTAGTAATTTGTATATATAAAAAGTGCTTCTGATAACAACTATCCAAACACTCTCACTTCTCAGAATCACTTTTTTACAAAATCTATTCTTCACAAAATCTATTCTCCCCAGAATCTATTCTTCAGAATCACTTTTCCAAACCACGGTTTGGTTTCATCCAAACACACCCTAAGAACCACAGCCTCCTCCCTCACCTCATCCGACGCCGCCCCTTACCCATCGCCGGATATACCCGCCAAGGCCGATCTAACCAACACTGTCACCACTCTCGCTCTCGCATCCAAATGCCTCCTACTTCGAAGGATTCCCAACGCCAGATCTCAAGTCCACAACCATAATTTTGGATGATCTACGAAGTCGGCTTCAGTTCTGGTGGTCACTGTTAACTTCCCATTATAGCTCATTATTGTAATTACAACGAGATTGAGAGTTAGTGCAGTCCAGGTGGGTTAGGAGGAGAGCGGACGGAACTCGACAGTAATGGTAGTTGATGAGAGAAGCTTGGCAATGGTGGAGAAAGGCGGCTCATGCGGGAACAGGACACACAAATTTTTAGTCAACTTTCAGATGAGGGGGCATCACTCTTTGATTTCCGGTGGTTTAGTCAGCTGGGCTTAGCCCCGTCTTCAACAACCTCCATATGTTAATAATAATAACAATGATCTGACAAGATCCACTTTACGCGCGGCAATTCTGAGAACATCTTTAATAATCTGCATGGATCAGACCTTTGAGAAGAGAATCTAGGCAGAATTGAATTTGGTCTAAACAGGGTGTTATTATGAACGGAAATAAGTAAATAGGCATGAGTTTGTAACAAAAGTTTAAAACCTGAGATTCCATATATACCGGCTCTTTTCTAGACTTTAATTTATCTTTTTTCCCTTCTTTTACATATGTACTAATCCATGGCTGGAATTGGCCTTCCCCTTTGCTTCCATCAAAATTAATTCTCCCTACCAGACTGAGGTGCTGGCGGGCGCGCAAAGTCGCGTGGCTTTAATGTTTATTTATGAATATGTACTGATCTGCCAATCTTCATCTTCCACACGTGGTATTTCTATGGTGTCCAGTGTCCAGGTCCCACCTTCCATTCCAGATAAATAATTAATTTATAAATATTTAAAAAATTAGTTAAGGTGTTTATTTATAACAAATAATTATTCTTTTTTCTAAAAATATTCTTATTATTTATGTATATTGAAATAAAAATTCTTTAATGTATACATTAACTCTAAGGATTAATTTAAAAAATAAATAAATATAAAAAACCTAGCAGTTTCAAAGCTTATATTTAGAATCAAACTGAATATCCAACTAATAGTATGTTGCATTTTATTTTTGTATGGATGTACCATTCTTTGTATGGACAATACTTATGTTAAGTTCTCTAATTATATTACACATAACCATGTATCCTATTTTTACAATATTAACATTTAATTATAAATTCATATTTAAAAAAAATACATAGTCATTAATGATTAAAAAACTTGATATAATAGTTATAAATAACAGCTAAGTTTTTTCTATTATATATACTCTTAATTCTATTCACAGTTTTACCTCTATTAATATATAGATACACAACCGCGCGCACTTTAATAAGCAGTCTTAAAAAGTAACGGCTGACGTAATAATACATCAGAAATAAAATTGTGCATTTATATAATAAATTTAATAAGGTCACTAATCATTTAAGAACATGAAATTTTCACGCTGGTCCCTTTAAAGTATGAAGCCCAGGATGCTCATTTGATCAAATTATTTTCTTATAAATTGGTCTAGATTATTATAAAAATGTGTCCGATTATTAATAAAATCAATTAGATGATTATATGGTTAATATTCTGCCAACCAGGAGGGAGGTTCGATTGAAGCAGAGATCACCAGTTGGTCTGAAATAAAAGCCTGTATAAATATATAGCAGAAATAATTCTGATATGCCTCCAGGCTCCAGCCATCTGTCTGTTGAGTTTGCAGAAAAGGGCGCGCAAATACAAAAAGAAAAAAAAAAGTAAATTAATCAAACATATATTTTTTTTTATTTTTTTCTAGCAGCCTAAGCACGATAACTCAACAAATTGTGCTTCGCCCTGATAGAATAATGATATTATAAGTGTTTTTTTATTCCCTTTTCCTCTTGACTTGGAATCCCCAAAGCAGCTTTGCGGATCATCTCATAGGCACTGTTCAAGTACGACGCTAATTTTGGATGATCTATGAAGTCGGCTTCAGCTCTGGTGGTCACTGTCAACTTCCCATTATAGCTCATTATTGTAATTAAAACACTCTGTGACAACAGAAAATGAAATAATTAACCTAATTAAGTCCATGATAACTTCAAACATGATTTATTTTTAATGCAATAAGATATTTGGGGAGTCCTAAAGAAAATGCCTGTCATATAATTAAATTGGCATTATAAAATTTACATTAAATAAATTGATTATAGTTTAAACCAAAATTGTATAACCCAATGTAATTTAATTAGTCATGCTCTCAGAGACATCATAGTAAATATTTCTCTATTTTTTTAAATAAAAAAAATGCTTCAATGGCCAAAAAATTGACTTACCGATTCCAAAACGTAATAATTTTTTTGTTTTATTTTACCAAGACTATATGATTAAGTAGAGTCAAGCGGAAAAGTGGAAAAACACAAGATTTAAGGAGAAAATACCTGAGGGAGGCCAGACCCGGTGAAGTAGAAGCTTTTTATGGGATAATTTTCAAAAGCCACTTGATGTACTGGTCCAACAATGTTGGACACCATTAAGCTTGTATTTCTGATTGCCCTGTGCAAGTGCTTAGCCATTGCCTGCAAGAGCATGCGAGTTAAAACTAATTAAACCACCAGTAAGACATATCTCAGCCGGTAAATTAAAAACAAAAAATAGTGAAGTATAACAGGGCAAGGAAAGGCAAGGCAAAAACGACGTAACACCCTTATTTATTGATCTCCTCATGAACTCACCTCAGGGCCTCTGAACCGATGCTGGATGCGAAGAAGCTTCTCAATGAGAACAATAGCGAAAGAACGTCTCTTCCTCTTGATTTCCCGATGCGCTTCCCACACAGATTGAAGAGGGTTCGAAATTAGGATGTCGTTTAATTTGGGAATCGATGTATGCAAGTAGATTATCTGGTTCCCCAATCTACCCTTCCCCTTACTCTCTTGCATATCTTTTGCCGTTGTGTACCTCTCCACGTCCCTCGTGCTCATCATGGTTAATAGGGTGCAATTATTTGTCTTCGATTCGTACTCAATGTCTTGCATGTATAATCGAATCCCGTAGAATATTACTCCCGTAATCACATCGTTTACAGTCTACACCGCAAAAAGTTACAAACTAGTTATAATTCATGCACACAAACACGTACGGATATATTTTTCAGTATAGGGATTGGTGCTCATCACGAACTTACCACTCCCAATTTGGACTTGATTTCCTTGGTCTGTTCGAGGGAAAATGTGATGTTGAGTATGGTGGCTGGGCGAAACTCGACTCCTTCATTTTTGGACCTTATTGGTGATATGTCGTCTTTAACCCAGGTACTTTTGAGTAAGTTCCAACCAAAGTCTGCAATAGAATAGTAGATAGCAGAGATGAAACTAGGCAATCTCCTCAAACAGCTTTGGTTGGCAAGTTTCACTTTTGATGATTTGAGTGAAGGAAAAGTTAAAGGGAGAGAGGGATCATCGGCTCTTTTTAGACAAGAGAAAAGGATGCTCATGAGAGTGTAGCCATCTCCAAGCGAATGGTGGAACTGAACTATGATGGTGTTTATCGGGTTTTTGATGATGTGAAGCTGCCATAATGGTTTGAAACGTGGTGGCTGCTCCATTGCTATCCTGGAGACATACTCATTGAAGCATTCAGTACATGATTCTATGGACATATCAGGAGAGAATAACTCTGGTATGATGATATGATCTTCCAAACTCACTTCAACTTGTTTCCATCTTTTCACTCCTTTTTCATCTCTTACCTGGTTGCAACCAAGGCTCATGGATTGTTATAATCATACACACAAAAAAGGTTCAATAGATCTCGTATTGTGCGTGCGTGTGAACATATATATAGTGAGAGATCGAAAGAGAAAGATAAAAGTTAGAAGCAAGTTCAACCCGTACCATTATGGAGTTCAGGCGTGGATTGGCAAGAAGAGTGCGTAGAACATGAACAAATGAAGGCGGGTCATTAATGGGACTTTCAAGTTCAAGAAAAGCAAAAATATATAAACACGAAAAATCAGAGCAACCCAAGACTTGTTCAATAGGACTCACTGGCTCCTCCAAATCCCCTTGCTGAGAAATCTCCATTGAATTGATTAACTATTTTCAATCTTCAAACATAAATAATTAAATCTGGAAAGGGAGAGGTTTTTTTTGGAAGCTAGAGAGTTGAATATGCATATCCGTAGAATGGTCGAGATGCATATAAATAGATAATATACGGAACATCCGAAAGGGTACCATACATAAAACAATTATTGAGATATATTTCATTACTCTTTTTTTTTTTGGTGAACAAGGGCAATTTAGGGCCTTTGGCCCCCCATGAACCCCTAGGATCCGGTGCTTTTTTTGAGCTCTGATCTTCTATTGGGTTAGGTAAACCCGAACAACCAACTAATCTAGAGTCGAGGTTATATGGAGTGCATTCTATAGTACTTTGTGTCAAGATGGTACCACCCTCTACCTATAGGTGGGTTTCAAAGATCAAACACAGATTCTCACTTTGGGAGCATCAGCCGCTAACCACTGTGCCCAATACTTGTTGGTTATATTTCATTGCCTTTTTGTACAAACTCAACAGATATATGGCAGGAGGTATAGCCGAATTATTTCCGCTATATTTATACAGGATTTTGTTTCAGACCAATTTGTAATCTCTACGTCAAGCGAAACACGCCACAGGATATTTCTATGGTGTCCAGTGATCGAACTAGCTAGCCCATTAATCTTGCCTGATCAAATCAAAACACGTAAAATTAAAAGCAGCACGTGTTAGTTAACAGTTGTGTCTCATTACTCCTATATGTTGGGTGGTCCGGATCCGCCCCAGTTAATCAATAATGATGTTCGGTGGTTGGAATCTAGTTAGGTGCGGCCCACTCTAGTTTTGTATGGATCCAAGTATTCTCCTACTCTCCCCTGCGCAATACTTTCTTCGGAAAACCGCAATTAAAAACTTTTGGAATTTAAAAAACGTAGATAAAGACTCTTGACAACTTTATTATGGCTTTTGACAATAATAATAGGTCATGAAGTTGTTACAGGTCCCTATCTGTGTTTTTCAAATTCTAAGGTCTTTTTTTTGCAATTTCCCCTACTTCCTAAATGATTAATTTACGGATAATAAATAATTAGTTAAAAATAATAAATAGGTTTTAAGTATATCTTCATAAGTAAGAAAAATAATGAAAGAGAATGTATAGGAAAATGTGACAAAAGAGAATATGATAAAGGAGAGAAATTAAACAATTAAGAATAAAATTAAAATAATGCATTAAATATTTAAAAAAAAACCCAAATTAAAGTTTATAAAATAGACTATACTTTTTTTCAAATTTGAAGTTTATATATAGGACTAGAGGGAATATAAGAAGTTTTTCTAGAAAAAAATTATTTTCTTATACATTGGTCTAGATTATTTAAAAAAATGTGTCCAGTTATTAATAAACTCAATTAGATCATTATATGGTTAATATTCGGTCAACCTAGGAGTTTCGCTTGGAGCAGATCACAAGTTGGTCTGAGATAGAATCCTCTATATAAATACAGCGGAAATAGTTCTGAACCTCTTCAGCCCTACCTGTTGAATTTATAGAAAAAGGCGCGCAAATATAAAATTAAAAAAGAAAAAGAATTATCATGCATATTCTTTTTTCTGTTTTTCCTTTTTCCGGCAGCCGAATCTCGATATGGCCTCTTCTCAACCAAGCCTATGAAACAAATTGTGCTTCACCCTAATATAATACTCCTCCTGTCCTTAATATAGGATCCAATTGTTAAGTTAGTTTTGATACTAAATATAAGACTCATTTCTCATATTTATCAATTTTCTCTAAATTACCCTTATGGATACTCCCTCAACTATAATCAAGTAGAAGAGGAAGATGGTGTATTAAGAAAGATGATTATGGTATTTTGGGAAAAACATGCTACATTTTTTATAATTAACTAACTTACCTAACTTCCTTAACCTACTCAAATTAGTTAAATGAGTTTTATATTAAGGACCGGAGGAGTATATTAGGAATTACCTTGATTTCAATTATCTCAATCACCAAACTTAATCTCATTCATTAGGAACCATATCAATCATATAGGGTAATGCTATGGCATTGAAAATTAAACAAGGGAGCCAAAACTCTTGTTCGTCTCCAATATCTTAAACCGCCTCAACCACAGTTCGGTGCAAGTCAGAGATGTTTTCGAGTAAATCACAAGTGAGTAGGGAAGCTTTAAGTCTCTGTGGCCGGCGGACTGAGTACCCGGTCGGTAGCGGCCGTGCCGGCGTGGACCTATCACACGTGCCATGCCACTTAGCTTGCATGTATTTCTGTTTCCTCCATGGTCCTAAGTGCATTTTCTTTTCCTTCATGCATTGTTTGGCGGCTGAACACAAAATCTTAACTAACACTTGTAGTCTCTCCACTTTTCCCACATACACTTCCGGTAGTCGGCCAACTAATCGGTTATATTCTTCGTTAGCCCGACCCATCTCAAACTCGCCTGGAAAGTTCAGCTCAATTACCACTCTTACATCTCTTTTGGTGTTTGACTTGTCAACCACTTCCAGGTAAGTATGTTCCCCTAAAATAATCAAAAATAGAAGGGAATTTGTAAATTGTTATTGTGAGTCCAAATAATATAACGTGTAACAAAATCATTGGCTAGCTTTGACACAGGTACCCGCGTATATGAAGAACCCATATTAATTAATATCTATAGAGTAACATAATTTTTATGTTCATAATTTAAATAACTGTATATACGAATACAACGAAATAATAACCATAAATTCAGTTACCCACACACACACACACATATATATCAATATTCATTCGGAAAGAATATATAATTTAGATTTTTAAAATATATTTTCTTAATGTATTATTTGAATTTATTTTTCTTTCTCTATATACGGACAACACAAATTTATTGAAACTCATATTGTACGTCTTTTGAAAAAAAAAAGTGAATATATATGCAATATGATCAAATTAATTAAAATGCTGATGTGAAGCAGTTAATAACAAAAACGTTGAATAATTAATTCATGCCCAGAATTGAAGAAATAAAATAAAATAGATCTGAGAACAAAAGCTTTAAAAGTCTTGTCATGTACAGTTCTATAATACTAATTCTCATTATATGTACTCTTCAATAATTCTTTTTGATTTATCATATCCATATTGAAAATTTTGTGAAACTATGCTATCTGGTTCCAAACTATTAAGCTGCCTTTTATTAGAGCTGAAACCTCACTGAAGTCCTTGAGGAAAATTAAAATTTGACCAGCGTGATAATCAAAATGTACCCGAGGGGATTTTCGATGAACTGCTCCATTTCGATTTGCAAATGGCACAATTGTAGCCAAGTTCCAAGAGGCGATAACAAATTTCTCTCTGCAAGCAACTCCGGCAGCCCTTATTGGCCGCCACTTGCCGGCAAGTACACTTCATGCCCGATGTACTTAATTCTCTTAAAGCCGTCTTCGTGGCCTGCCTAATTTTTGTCTCAAAGGAGCCTGTCCTGCATAAAGTGGCCTTTCAAAATAAATAGAAAAACGGGTGAGTAATATTTTCAGATGGGCATATATATATATATATATTAATTATCAAATACCATTCATTCTAATTAGAATTTACATCAACTCTCTTTACTACATCACAATTAAATTATTTTAATGCATTAGTAATTCACATTAATTGCTTTTAGAGAGATATTATAATTCAAATTCCCAACCCCCGACGCCGTTGTGGGTGTGTATGGAAATGGTACCTGGAGAAGTTGATGTTGTTGGTCCCAGAAACCCTTGTTTGATTTGGCGGCACATAAAGTGTCATCGTGGTCGTCGACGTCCTCTTGAGAGTACTGATCGGAGTCGGATGACGAGGAGTGAACGTCCTCAGAAAAGCCGAACACCGTATCGGCAAAGCTCATGGCTATGTCATCGTGTTCGTGATCGGAGGCCTGGGACGTGATCGGCGGCAACCAGGGCAATCCTCTGTGCATGATAATATTGCTGGCCTGGTTGGCGCTGGCTATACCGGTGTGGTGTGAGTTTGACCGGAAGAATGTGCTGTGAGTAATCCCGGAGACACGACTTGTCAATTTATAAGGGGATCGAAAAAGAAAAAGGGATGCTTTGCTGGGCGCTGGTGGGGCCCACCTGTCCGAGGTGGACGGAGCCAAACATGAGATTTTAGAGTAATAAATAAAATCCAACATCGCCGCGTACGAGGGAGAAGGGAGGGGCGTGATTGTGGATGATGACGTGGCAGGAGATGATTGTGGGGATGACCAATAAGTGAGGTGGAACCGGAATAAGGATATAAGCAGGATATGCTCGAATCCTGCGAGCCTGAAAGTAGACATTTTTTTTTTTGGCGGAAGAGAAAAAAGCAGAGAGCGGGAGAGAGGGGAAGAAAATGGCGACTGGTTTGGAGGAAGAAAGAAAGAAACAAGAGGAGGGGTGGTGGGGACGACCGAGATGGATGAATGGGATCCGAGTGTGATGATGTCAGTAAGCCAACTTGGCACTCTAATGACTGATGATGATGTGGATGGATGAAGGAAATGCCTTATCCAAATGACTCTCCTCTTTTGTTTCCCTCCTACAACAACGCAACGGAATCACCGGTTTCGCTTTTGTATCATTAGGGCATCTTTCCAAATTCCAAGGTACAACGCCATAGTTAGGAATCCATTTACCAACACTTGTCTTGAGACTTCTTGTCATTCAAGATAATCTGAGTTAACCGTTGTTAATAATATCATAACATGTTATGAGTTTCACAGCATGGAGTCTTATAACATAAGTGTGGTATTTATGAATTTGAAGAATTTTTTATTTTTCATATTCGGGTGTCGACTCGACTTTGTGCGATATTTTCTTTTCTTTTCCAGATTATAACTTTTCGTGAAATCTAACCTACTATAATAAATAATATTATAGTAGCCTATGAGGAAGAGTATTACTTAAAAGGTAATTGGTATAATAATGCAAATATGCTCGAGAGCATAAGTTCAAAGAAAAAGTATGCCTAAAAGATTAATACTGAGCTGGTCAAATTAAGTCAACTTGATCATCACTTCTCTCAAACGCAACGCACAATGAAATTTCCTTTCGGTTTTTGTGCTATTGTTTTACATTATTAATTTTATTTACCGCAAGTTTTCTGATTAACAGTGGGCGTTTAATTAGATGGAACTTTGGAAAGAAAGGGACAAGAGCGAAAATATCTGAGGCGGACGAGTGTGTGACCTTGGTAATTAATTACTCTCATATTAATCAGCAGTAAGAGGAAAATCCAATTCTCACGGCCAAGCACCTCATTTTTTCCAATGATAACATGATTTTCTATTGGATATGATATGCCTGGGGTGTGCGAAATGCCAGATGATCAAAGATTAAATATTGAAGATATCATGAACAAGAAGTGTAAATGAATACTAGTATATATGATTGATCAAACAGCTGGTGTGCGTGCGTGGAACCTAAGGTAATAATATAGATAAAGGAGAGAAGATTCCTAAATCAAGAAAAAGCAAGTAACCCTACTTAAGGTGGGGGAAAATGTTGTTTAAAATTGTCATAAAGTATTATCCATAAGTGACGATTAGTGACAGTGATTTAGTAGTATCATATTTTTTCCCCCTTGATGTTACTGGAAAAAGAAAGCGTTTATTCAAGAGAACAACTGTAGGGGTGTAAGAAACAAGTTCATTGGAGGAGCTATAAAGTAACAAAAGTACGCGTGCGTCTCCGCATCAATTCGCCTGTTGGTTCACTGCTCAACAAATTAAAAGATTATTCATTCAAATTAAACAGTCATCTAATAATAAAGTACGTATAGATTATGGCTAGCAACTTTAATTAATGTTACTTCCTACCACTTTTTTCCCCATATATATGTTTCGTTTTCTATCATCGAGCAGCCCCACCCTTTCATATTCAATTTTCCAACGCTTTATGATGGCGCATATATAAGTTTCTTAATTAAATGATTTAGATTGCGAAAGACTCTACTTATTCAAGTTTCCACGTTATTCAATTGTTATATTACGAATTTATCATGAATAAAAATAGCAGTAGCTCCCACCCATTAAATCTTGGATAGGCGATCTTTTCTTCGTATATCCTCTTGTTATGGATACAAAAAAATTCGAACATAAAATGAAGCCATAAATCAGATCAAGATTAGGTTATGAACTTAAAAGAACTTTCTGTTATTACTGAATAAGTGACAATATTAGTTTTGCTTCAACTTGTCTTTTATTTTCACGTTTTAAAATAAAGCAGTTCCCAAATCAAGTATATTCGACTTTTTGGAAGCCAGTGAGGGTTTTATTATTAACTAATGACCGTTCCATCACCCACCCCGGGAACTAAATGATTACAAAGAACCTTAAAAATAGGTTGAATCTAATAGAAGGAACTAAATATGGCCAACCAAAGTTTAAATTCTTATTGAGAGATGTAAGTGTTCATATTTAATACTACCTCCGGTCCTTAATATAAGACCCCGTTTGACTTTTAGTTTGGTCCTAATTATAAGACCCCAATCCATTTTGTCTCTCATATTTATACATTTTTTCCCAAGATAGTCCTTCTAATAATGATAGTTTTAACCAACACATTTAATTAGCAAGGATATTTTAGGAATGACAATACTTGTTTGTTACAAATAACTAACTTAACTTACTTCCTTAATCTCCTCAAATTAGTCAACTGGGTCTTATAATTAGGACCGGAGGTAGTATTTGATAGTGCCTCAAACAGAGTTGTCTCTAACAAGAGAATGCCTATATCTAAAAGTATGGACTCCTTAGCCTTCCCAAGAGACAAGCATCCAACTTGCTCAATGGAATATCCCAGCCAAAGTAGAGTAATCTGAATAAATTGAATCCTTTAGTTTCTTTATCGGCATTATTGGCTGACAATATTGCGATTGATTACTTTTTACTTTTTCGTTTACTTAATAATACAGTCTTTTTCTTGCTCCTATTGTTTTTCCATAAGTGACAATAAGAAATGGATATGTGTGTGTGTGTGTGTGATGTGTAACAGGCATTAAGAAATGGCATCCAAGAAGGTTAGAGATAAGAACGGATTTAATTTATTATATCTAACGTAACATTGAAACAAAAAAACGGGCAATAGGACAAATGTGGTTTCTAATTAACTAACTAGTTCTTATAGCTTTTACACACACGCGCACACTTCTCCAAGTGAAGACAAGCACAAATGGATCGGGCTCTACCAACTTGAGCAGTTGTATTCGCCACCACAATTTGATGATAAATTATATGTATATGAAAACCAATGTCAATAATCCGCGCCTTATATGTAAATTAGAAAGCTAGTTAATTATTTAACAATCAAATGTAATGTGAGACAGGCAACTTAATCAAATTGTAATTTCACATAGTCTGTTTGGGATTGAACTTGCAAATGACCGCATATATATATATATATATATATATATATATATATTCGGGCTTAAAAGCTCATGAATTGGAGACCACTGGAATTTCTCTCTTTTATTGCCAGTTGGTGAGTGAAGGTCATGTCAGGAATGCACATAATTACCCTTTATTGTCACTCTGGATTAATTCCTTGAGAATAGACTAAATAGCACATATATACTTTGAAGAGATTCGAGCTTCTCTATGATTTAAGTAAAATTAAAGATCCAATAATGGAATACATCGATGATGCGGCTGCTAGACTTGCGATTAGTCAAATACATGTTTAGAAAATTAAAATGTATGGATTAACTTAATTATCTAGGCCGTTGGCCGGGAAAAAAAGAATTATCTAGGCCGGACAAGCAATTAAGCACAAAATCATCAACACATACATATATTTATATACTCCTCCGGTCCTAATTATAAGACCCAATTGACTTATTTAAAGAGATTAAGGAAGTAAGTTAAGTTGGTTATTTATAATAAATAAGTGTTGTTATTCCTAAAATATCCTTGCTAATTAAGTATATTGGCTAAAACTATTATTATTAGAAGGATTATCTTGGAAAAAAATGCATAAATATAAGAGAGAAAATGGATTGGGTCTTATAATTAGGACCAAATAAAAAGTCAAATTGAGTCTTATAATAAGGACCGGAGGAGTATATTGTAACTTAGCAAGCAACATAAACAGCAGCGGGAAATGCCGTTCAGAAAGTGGGAAGAATACAGATGGATCAGGATATATAATATTTCTTTTTCAATTTTTGTACCCATGCATTTTTAGCACAGGTTTAGAACTTCCTGTTATAAATATTTTATCAATTTCTTTCTCTGGTTAAGTTTATAAAGCTTTTTAGCCCAAATGATATAATAGATTTGAACAGCACTGTCCACTGTATAGTCAAAAGGCATCACACGTAGCTTGTAAATTGACTGAAACTTAAAATAAAAGTAAAATTATCACAAATGATGTATGAAGATAAGATTTTCCGAAATCAAATAGACATATAGGACAAATAATGACAAGCCATCCGAACTAATATATAAAATTCTATGCTGAGCTGATCAACAATAACATAAATCAACTTGCCCAGCTGTGCATAATTTAATCTCTTTTTTCATGCCAACTAACAAGAATATAAGTTAATATGATAATTATTAAAAAATAAATTTTAATTTATATTTTTGTTTGAAATAATAAATTTCTAAATAATAAATTGTATATGAAAAATATAATTAATTAATATTATTTCCAATTCTCAATATAAAAGCCAATTGGATATTCAATTTGATTATCAATATAAGATGCCGATCTACTTCGTCTCACACATTTATTTATTTTTTATAGCTTAAACTATGATTTATACCTTTATGGAAAACCATGGTTTTATACCTCAAGCCATGATTTTCAATTCAAAAGTGACTTTGCATAAAATTATGGTGTTTGGTTAGTTTTTTCCAAATCATGATTTCAGTGAAAAAGTGATTTTGCAACAAATTGGCATGTCTGGATGGGTGGATTTTTAAACTATGGTTTTGTATTTCAAATCATGGTTTTGCTTGCTATCCAAATACTTTTTTTTTTTTTGGGTACAATCCAAATACCCTTTTAATTAGAAACCAAACAGAGATGGGAGTGCTGATTTGGGCCTATAAAATAGACCTGGGAGCAACTCCCAAATATGGGCCCATTAGTGTTGGTTGGCCCAATAAGTAAAAGCCCATCAATGAATTGACCATTTTTGTCCTTACATTCAATTATACTCCTGGCCCATCACTCGACCGATTTCAGCGCTGATAAGTCTGTGACGTGACTTGGGACGGTGGCCTTCGCCTGTGGTCCCCAAAAACAAACCAATTAATTTTTTGTTTTGTTGCTTCTAGGAATCTCAAAACAACCGACTCCGCATTCCACGATCCACAGTACTCTTCAAAACAAGACAACGCTGGTATCGTCAAATGCAGCACGTTTCGTTGAGCTCCAGATAAAATTGGTGCAGCCACTCCCCTTTCCCCATATATCTATATCCATGTCATGCGTTGTGTTGAAAAAACATATCTTATTTAGCCAAGATCAAATTCATAGTCATCATCTACATGGAATCAACTTATTTAGATAATGTTTTATAAAAATTATTAAAATTACATTTCATAGCGGATATTTATCAATGAACCCCATCTTTATTGTGGGATATTACCTCCAGTCCTTAATATAAGAGCTAGTTAATTAATTTAAATATATTAAAAAAATTAGTCAAATTAGTTATTTGTGATAAACATGTACTCCTCCGGTCCTTAATATAAGACCCATTTAACTAATTTGATTGGATTAAGGAAATTAGGTAAATTAGTTAATTATAAGAAATGTGACATGTTTTTCCTAAAATACCATAATCATTTTTCCTAATACCCCTCTTTCTGTTCTACTTGATTATGATTGAGGGAGTATCTATAAGGGTAATTTAGAGAAAATTGATAAATATGAGAAATAGGTCTTATATTTAGGACCAAAACCAACTCAATAATTGGGTCCTATATTAAGGACCGGAGGAGTATTATCTTTCCTAAAATATCATTACTAATCGAGTATATTGGTTAGAACTATCATTATTACAAGAGTTACCTTAAAATAAATAGATAAATAGGAGAAATAAAATGAATTGAGATCCTATATTTATGATTAAAATAAAAATTAAATAATCTTTTATATTAAGAACACGAGGGAGTAGATTAGAGAGGGGCCATGCAAGCCAAAAGAGGCCATAAATAATAACGCACTGACCAAAGCTAGTGGGTTATATGTTGAAACCATGTTGACGAGAATTTGCGTTTTTCTAGGTGTCCAAATTATAATTATAATTATAGTATAATCTCTGGGTGCCACCGAAACTAAACAAAGGTAGAAAAAGCATTACCTCTGTGTGGCGTCACTCATCACAAAAGGGAGAATTATATACTTAAAGTCAATATTGAAGGAACTGGGGAAAGGGAAATGAGTAAAATATTAGTTGCGTAAAAAAAAAAAAGTGACCAAAAAAATTGAAGCAGCATGTTAATTCCTTTACCAAGATGTCATTGGAATAAGTTAAGAGCCACCAAGTGGACCATTGAAAAAATTAATCTTAAAAAAAAAACAATATTAACGTGATTTAAAGATGTTAAGAACGCCGAAACTACTTGAGTAGTCCAGCGCAACAAATACCCATGCAAAAAAGATGAGGATGAGAAGGACTTAGTTTACCAGGTTAAAGGATTGAGTTAACACAACCACTGAACCGAGACTTGAAATAACAATGTTTTTGTTGTAGACGGCTCTCCCTCTGTGTGTGCGCGTGTGTGTCAGTCACCTTTTCATTAATCCTCAACGCTCCCAAAGAAGAAAAGCTAATTGTGTTGATCCCTCATTGGTCACTCTTTTGCAGATCACGGCCTCCACCCAACCCCAACACTTTTATAGCCGACAAATTCTTCTCCTCTCGACACGTGGACTTCCTCTGTGCCATCCACTCCTACAAGACAATTCTCGGTTTATCATCACCAACATCATGGCATTTACATTTAGTTAAGGACGTTGGTGCCCGCGTCATACCCAGATTTAGCACTATACCCTTTTTTTCCCCTTAATTTTATCTATCCACCACCTGATCATTGAGTTTCATATTACGAAGATGATTCAGGCCAAAAAAATCTTACGAAGTTGATTTTGCCCCAGAACAATAGTGGTCCTCAAAATGGTAATGTTTTTATCTTTACATCGTCAAATACATCGAATAATTAGTTGCTCGACTGTATTCATAACTCATACACGTTTATTTTACGTTGTATATAACAATAATTTCAGTGTGGCTCCTACTATTTGCCAGCTTTACCACGTGATCAATACGTGGCCGCTTTCTAGTGGATATTGTGTTTCAGCATCGGCCCCATTTTCTATCAACCAGATTAGATGGATCACTGGTCACTACTTTAAACAATTTATAAAACAGACCATGTTAAATTCTTTTTACATGATTTAAAATTCAGGCAGTGAATTATTATCATGTAAGAAAATCTAATCTATTTAGGATGTTATTTTTTGTATAAATCTATGCATCTCATACCATCGAGAGTTCAGTTTAATTGAAATTGTGTGAGTGGCGAGTGTTCTTGCATCTGAACAAGAAGTAGTTAAGAATTCGATATTCAGGGACGGTTAAAAGTTAAAAAGATTCAATTATAAATGTTGAATATTATTGACTTCGATTATTTTGGTGGGCCGCCGGCTACTTGTGCTCTGCTTTTCCAGGAAAGTCACATGAAGCGAATTTAGCTCAAATTAACATGCATTCCTTCTTACTGAGCTGCAACAGCCGAGCTCGAGAACTCACTTTCCTTTTCCAGTCCTCTCGCTAATGGCTTCCCGGAGCTGCTTCTTCCTCCTTTTACCTCTCCTCCTCCTCATCACTACTCTTCTAAGTTCAGTCTCATCCACTGAATTTGTGTACAACAGAGACTTCAATTCCACCAACATCGTCCTCTCCGGCAATGCCACCATCCAAAACTCCGTGCTCACTCTTACCAACCAGACCTTCTTCTCGATAGGACGCGCCTTTTACCCTTACAAAGTACCCATGAAATCTCCCAACTCTTCAACCCCTCTTCCCTTTGCAACTTCCTTCATCTTCTCCGTTGCCACCTGCAAGGGCCTTCCCACTGCTCATGGCTTCGCTTTTGTGCTCTCGCCTGTAGTGGGCATCAGTAGGGCAACTTCAGGAAACTATCTGGGTCTTTTCAATCGCACCAACGACGGTGATCCTTCCAACCATATTTTCGGTATTGAATTCGATGATTTTAGAAACGAAGACTTCAATGATATTAATGATAATCACGTGGGTGTTGATTTGAATTCGCTTATTTCCTTGTACTCACAACGTGCTGGGTTCTGGGATGGAGATCAATTCGAGGAGTTGAAACTGGACAGTGGGGACAACTATCAGGTGTGGATTGAGTTTCTGGATTTAAAGCTTAATGTTACTATGGCCCCAGCCGGAAAACAAAAACCTCAAAAGCCCTTGATTAGTAAGCCTGTTAACCTTTCCGATGTCCTGTTAAATGAAATGTATATTGGGTTCTCCGGAGCAACAGGACGAATGGTAGACATGAGTAGAATCTTAGCTTGGAGTTTTAGCAATTCCAATTTTTCAATTGGTAATGCTTTGCTTACAAGACATTTGCCTTCGTATGTGCATCCAAAGGAACTGATGGTTAGATCAAAATGGTTCATTGTAGGAGTCATTTTAGGCCCCCTGCTTGTCATTTTCTGCTGCACGTTTGTGTTCTTGAGTTTTTCTAAAACCAGAAGAAAAGGGAAAGGGGATGAAGAGAAGAACATTGAAGATTGGGAAGTGGAGTATTGGCCACATAGAATTAGCTACCAAGATATTCATGACGCTACAGGGGGATTCTCTGAAGAAAATGTGATCGGGAGTGGAACAAGTGGGACAGTGTATAAAGGAGTTCTGCAAGGAGTACCAGTGGCAGTGAAGAGAATCCATCATGACACCCAGTACGGGATGACAGAATTTCTGGCTGAGATTTCAAGCCTAGGCAGGATGAAACACAGGAATTTGGTAGGTTTCAGAGGCTGGTGTAAAAGAAAAAGAGGAAACTTGATTCTGGTTTATGATTATATGGAGAATGGGAGTTTGGACAAGAGGATTTTTGAGTGTGAAGATAGCATGCTGCTGAGCTGGGAACAGCGTAGAAGTGTTCTACAAAATGTAGCTTGCGGGATTCTATACCTACATGAGGGTTGGGAAGTTGAGGTCTTACATAGGGACATCAAAGCAGGTAACGTGCTTCTTGATAAGGATATGAATGCTAGATTGGGGGATTTTGGGCTAGCCAGATTGCATCACCAGGAACAATTGGCTGACACAACAAGAGTGATAGGAACTCTGGGGTATATGGCACCCGAACTAGTTAAAATTGGGCGACCATCAAAAGCCACTGATGTGTATAGCTTTGGCATTCTGGTTTTAGAAGTGCTTTGTGGGCGAAGACCTTTTGTGGCAGATAAGCCCGCATTGATTGACTGGGTAAGGAGCCTGATGGAGAGAGATAACTTGTGTAGTGCTCTTGATGAACGCTTGAAGGCTCAAGGTGGGTTCACCACTGGGGAAGTTCAGAGATTGCTTCATCTGGGTTTGATTTGTTCAAGTTTAGAACCTGCAGTTAGACCAACAATGAGACAGGTGGTGAAAGCTTTGGAGAAAATTAGCGACGCTGAGTGTGATGAAGAGTGTTTTGGCGGGAACTTGCTTGAGAAAATAAACTCAGCAGCAATGTGGTCCGTGCATTCTTCAAATTCTACCGAAAGAAGTTATCCAACTTTTGAGGAAATTATGCACTCCAAATATTATACCACAACCACTATTAGCGGTCCTTATTATTCCCTCCCACCATCAGAAGCAGCCTACGTCTCAGAAGGAAGGTGAGAACTTTTTTTAGTCAGGGCCTGAATTTCCCTTCGTCGTGTTATGATCCGAAAGTATTTAGACCAGGGAAACTTCCTCCTGTTTTGCTTTTCCCCACTTCCCTGTGTGTAAATATATTTTTAATTCTCAATTCAAACAAAGAAAGTATCGATAATTTAATAGCAGTGCTTGGTTTTTGGTGACTTGCTTTAAGATGCATCGCAGAAGCATCTGGAAAATACGCAAACTTGTATGCATATTTTCTTTTACAAGGTTTAGAGACATGGGAGTTCTTTTTACAACATGGGAAGGGTTCTGACGGCTTTCATCTCAATCTTAATCCTAAATAAGGAGAGAACTGTGTGTAAACAATCTTAATCTTGTATGAGATAACGTAGGCATTAGACGCTGTCATAATCGAACGGTCTGATATTCTGAGTCACCTACGAAGCAGCCTAACCGTTCCTTCGGCCCTTCTTCCCATCGCCACCTCCTTCATTTTCTCAATAATTCTAAAAGGGTAAACATGTTCTTAGTAGTCATGGCTTTTCTTCCTTGTTTTCGCCTTCGCGAGCGCCAACGGCACGAATCTATCTGAGTATATGTGCCTCTTGAATTTCACCAATCGAGGTATTCTTCACAGCCAAGTTATCGGAATCGAGGTCGACGCAGTTAATAATGATGAATTTAATGATATGAATAATACTCCCTCCGTTCTTTATTATAAGAGACATTTGATGCTTATGACATGTTTCTATATACAAGAGACACTTAAAAATTGTCTCTACTTTTTTGTATTGATTTCCTATTTTACCCATATTTATTGTCTCCAACTCACACTCTCTTCCCGTCTCACTTCTCTTTCTTTCAATAATTTAATTGTTCTCTCTCATGCTCTCTCTCCTTATTAATGAGGGTATTTTTGAGAAAAATTATATTTTTTACACATTAATTATTCTTAACTAATTTTAACTACTTTTTTTATCGACGTAATTCGGTTATTTATCTCTTGTAATAAAGAACGGAGGGAGTAACAACTTTAAAATTGATATGAACTCACTTGCCTCATTGACTTCACCCAGTGGATGATTCGTAGTTGAAATCTCACGCGTAGGAAGGACGAAACGCAGAAATCTAGTTTGATTACGAGGTAGGTGAAAAAGAGAAAAAGGGAGCTTGATGTTCGTTTACGATGACTCGGATAATGGAAATTTGGGCTCAAAAAAAAAAAATCTTAAAATGCGACGAAGAGACAGAGATCTTGAGCTGGAAAGAGAGGATTGAAATCTTGACTACAGCCGCGAAATTCGACATCAGCGCGAGGTCAGAAGTCAAGGCGTTGCGTAGGGACCTAAATTTATTTTTTTTTAATTTTTGAAAAATGATTATTACAGTACAAGGAGCTATTTTCATGGTTATTGTAACACGGAAGAATTACAATGACATTCTAAAGAGAAAAAAATTCATAGTAAATATCAATAATAAATGAGAAGTTATTTTTTCCTATCCTAAAAACCTGCCATAACCACGAAATTTGACATCAGCACCAAAGTCAGAAGTCAAGGTGAACGTCCTAAAAAAAAAAAGAAGTAAATTTAAATAACAACTGACAAGTTGTTCATCTTATTTTAAAGCTTTTCATTGCAGCCTGATGTGTTGTTATTGAAATTTTTAGTAATTACTACCTCTAATCTTTAATATAAAAATTACTTAATTAATTTGAGTAAATCAAAGAAACTAATTAAATTAGTTATTTATAATAAATAGGTAGTATTTCCTAAAATATCTTTACTATCAAGTGTATTTAGCTAGAATTATTATTGTTATAAGAACTATTATGAAAAAAAATGAATAAATATAAGAGAAAAGTGAATAAAAGTCTTATATTTATGATCAAGTCAAACAAACTATTATACTACATCCAGTCTTTAATATAAGACCTTATTTAACTTTTATTTTAGTCTTAAATATAAAACCCTAATCCATTTTATCTCTCATATTTATGCATTTGTTTTCAAGTTCTAATAATTGTAGTTGTAACCAATATACTTGATTAGTAAGTATATTTTAGGAAAGACAACACATATTTATTACAAATAACTAATTTAAGTTATTTCTTTAATTTTCTCAAATTAGTTAACTAGCTCTTATAATTAGGACTGGAAGTAGTATTAAGCATCGGAGTTAGTATATTCTTTCATTAGCACTTGATAGCAATTCTCGCTTGTAATAATAATAAAGAATATGTTTATATTGGAAATTTGGAATATACATAATGATTACTCTGAAAAGATTATTCCTACCGTTTGACGATTTGAAGCAAACAGGTAAAACTGATGGATTTTCTTCGTGTTTTTTAACATAATTAGGATCTGAGGCTCCGCAGTTTTTTTTTTTTTTTGGGGGGGGGGGGGGGAATTTACTTGAGTCATGTGATTCTACACTATCCATATGCAAGATTAGTCAAACTAATGCCTCACAAATAGCTTTGTTAAAAGATGTACGCGAGAGAAGTTGAAGAATGGAAGTAAACATCAATTTCTTTGACACAGAAAGCTTCAATATATGATACACTTTATAACGAGGGCTGTCTTCCCCCTTCTCCCCACTCTCTTTCCCTCGGTAACAATGAGAGATGAATAGTGAAGTCATGAAATACTTACCCAGCTGTACTACTACAATTTTGGGTGTATATCTGACTAACCGGCATCTACTTTTGCTTCGCACGAACTTTTTCACCTTTTGACTTGTCAATTCTAGCTCGTCTTGAATATTCCTGGATCTTTCGATCATGTTCTTTGAGCATCTGATCCATGTTGTTTGACGATACCATCAATGGACCAGAAAGATAGATCTTGTTTCCTCTGGCGTACCCTTCCTGAAATAGGGACCAATATGGCATTCATCAGCACTCCTGGGAGAATAATGACTTGGGACAGAAATTTAAGACAAACTGGAAAGAAGGATATTAAATAAGAGACCATCTTTTGAGCATTATTGCTGACGCCCAACAAAAGTTTTCACAGCCAAACATACGCAAATAGGAAAGCAAAGAGAAACCAGAAATGAGAAACTGACCGGAGTTGATTCTTTAGCAGGGGTCCTTCCATGTTCTACGTGACACAAATCAACTCGCTGAGACTGGTGTTTTTGAGCCTGCCTTCTTAAATCTGATCCCCTAGTTGACTCCACAGGTTTTTGTACATCAACTGTTTTTCTGGGCCGTGAGAAATGTGATTTTTCCTCCTGATCTTCAGACACTGAAGTCCTAGATGCAACTAAACCTAATACCTTTGACAAGTTGACTCTGTTTGAACCAAGATGCTGCTCGTCCATGTCCTTACCAACTTTTACCCGGCCTGGACCCTGAACCAATGGACCTGAATGTGAAGGCCTCTTGTATAGATGACCAGAGAAATTATTTTCCACTTCCTCAGCATTGTCTGACTGTTTATGTGGAAAAACCAACAACCCCGAAGCAGATTCTCTGGGAGGATTGAACAATTCAGTTCGACTCTTTGAACTGGAATGACGTCCTTGCTGCATGTGATAAGAATAATATAAACTAAAGATCAAAACAGACAAACATTGGGTGGCCGCGAAAACCAAAAAGAGAAAGGTCAAACAACAAACATATTTTTTTCCCCCTGGTAAACGGGAAAAAATACTTGTTTCTTTCTGTAAATAATATTAATCCTTCATGGCTTCACATCTCTACCCCACTAATGAAAAAGGAGAGTAACCATGAAGCTTAAAGGCCATTTTCACACAGCCATCAACGGTTTAGGTGTTCTAAAACACACACTCCAAGACGAATGACCAGCTGGGGCAGGACTTACTCAAACTAAGAACTAGTAAACGGGGGAATAAAATTCTCGGGTTGAAATTATAGTAAATTGTATTCAGAAGTCAGATAAATTTATCTATGAGTCAGAGATCTAACATCAAATCAAAACTATTGAAATGACCGTCAAATTAGCTCAATACAGTCTGAAGTCCAAAGCTCATAGCTTTATTCCTGTTTCTTGATTATTATCACGCTCAATCCGTGTACACTATATATTATAGAGCTAGTGAGGAGAGATCATAAAAGGAGGGTCATCCAGTTTTATTTTAACTAGGGAAAATATATAAGAGAATCGAAATTAAAATTTGAAACTTTCTCAGGTTACCTGCATTGACAAGCGCGGGTTAGCATTGTTATTTGCCGCAAGCGCCTGAAGCCCTTTTTCTGGTCCAACTCCCACCCCAACTTTCTGCTCCCTTCCTCCTACAGCTCTTTGCCTGAAAGGATTAAAAAAATGTATACTTGTTAATAAGATGCTTAGCTGGCAGGAAAGGCTACCCTTTACCATAATTGAATTATTCAAGTTGTTCAGACAACCCCAAAAAAAAAAAAAAAAAGAAGAAAAAAGAAGAAGAAAGGAACGGAAAAGAATTATTCAAGCTGCTAAGATTCTCAAACTTCAAGACTTTAACTACCAGAAATTTGTGTATTTTGTGTTTGAGCCCACTAATGATGTTTCTCTTGTTCAAGTCAAAGATGGAAACATCTAAATCAAGAATTGACAAGAAATCAAACATTCATTATCCAAGAGTTCTTCAAATTTAACCAAAATTTATATTTCAAAAGATAGCTTACATTCTAAATCTGAAGCTAGTGTCATGACAGTAGCATAAATGTTTTTCTTTTCCTCAATTTAAAATTTTGAATCGATAGAAGTTACCTTCTGGTTGCTTCATCTCGCATCTTAGCGTCAATCTCTTTGCTGGGAGGATATTTTGGTAAACTTGAAGGATCACAAGCAAGGGGTTCCACGGTAAAGAACTGTATATAAAAAGGAAAAAGTCAATATGGAGAATCACGCACCTCAAAAGGTTATAAAGAAGACATGTGTTCAACAGCATCTTGTATGGTAATGATAAAAAAGCAGGAGAAATATAATCACCGCTTTTTACTTCACATCATAGCAGTATGGTTTTAATGTAGAGAAATGCATGGACGATTGGAACACTAACTTCCATGCAACTAATAATATGATAAGTTTTAATGTAGGAAACTGACCGGAAAACAATAACAATGAAAAGAACAAGATGGCAGGATGCTAGAATAGCAAATTTCTTTGAGTAAAAGTAATATATGCTCATAGATGCATATAAAGGAGAACATTCAGAGGAAACAAAGATAAAAATCTTAATAAGTAGACTTTAGCACACTTTTGGTCCCTCTAATATTGCAGAAGTTTCATTATGGACCATTTATTTATTAATTTATTTTTTGGCCAGTCCCTTTTGATTCAGTATGTTGCCGTTCAATATTTAGAAATAATGTAATTAAGTCCTTTTGTTCTTCATTATAGACTGTATTTGAGTTTGGTGACATAATAGCAAAAAAAGGAGGAAAAGAAAAGCTACATCAAAGCAGGTGTACACGTTAAGATGAGTACATTGGAGAAATCACTGCATTTTCCGCTAAAATAAAGTTGCATACCTCACTTTTTAAGGCAGCAGCTGCAGTTCCTCGATGTGCAGGATCTATTGAAAGTAGGGTCTCTATTAGCCTCACAGCAGCAGGTGGATATTCCTGGAATGTTTCCGCAACACAACGCCTATAATGATGCGGAGGCTTGAATATTGTTGAATGTGGCGACCGCAATTTAAGCCAGTAATCTTCAGATGGTGAGCCACAAAGCTTAAAACTCCTATGCAATTGTTCCACCTACACGAAACTAAAATTAAGTTTCCAGCACATCATAAACTCCTTCATCACTATACAATAAGCATGTGGGAAATTAGGATTCAACGATCGAAACTGCTATATATGAGTTTGGAATTGCATGTGAGCCAACGGAATCCACTTATGACTTGATGGAAACATTACCATTGGCGACGGTGCCAAAGAAGCCATGACAAGGATTGTGATGTTGTATTTTATTTAACTTAATAAATATATATGCATATGTCGATATCATTATTATACGCACCCTCCAAAAATTAACTTTCATTCGTGACTCTAATATTCACAGTTTGATGACATGATTCAACCATTTTCTTTCAGTGTGTGTTGTTGATATCATTGGTCATCCCATGAAAGTATCACATCATATGAACAAAACACAACTGACTGGCTTGTGACAAATTCACGGAGACTAAATAAATAAAATAGATCGTCAAACACTATACCTCTGTTTTTCCTGGCAATATGGGCTTGCCAGAATACAGTTCCCCCAGTATACAGCCAGTGCTCCACAAATCCACCGCAACACCATAATGAGATGCTCCAAGTAAAAGTTCTGGAGGCCTATACCAAAGAGTCACCACTCGGCTGGTCAATGGAACACTTTGATGGGGGTCAAAAAAGCTTGCCAAACCAAAATCTGCAATCTTTAAGATGCCATTATTGCCAATAAGAAGATTTGACCCCTTTATATCCCGGTGGAGAACACCATGACTATGACAATGATCCAATCCACTGAGAAGCTGTTGCATGTAGCACTTAATCTAACATAAAGAAGGCACTATCCACTGAGAAGCTGTTGCATGTAGCACTTAATCTAACATAAAGAAGGCACTACTTAAGAATTCTGCACATCAAAGTAGAAAGCATGCATGGTTGCTTTGACAAAAATTGCAAATAAGGACAGGCCCTTCCCATTGCCATGTTTGACATAACCATGTAGAAAAATCTGATTCCAAGTGAACAGGGAGAAAAATTACAAGAGTGAGAATACTACCTGTGGTTCTGAAAATTTAATGCCAGGACGTGAAGCAAGTCCTGTAAGATCATGTTCCATGTACTCAAAAACAAGGTACAAGCTACGGGATGCCTGGGATGTTATCAAGCCCTCTAACTTTATCACGTTAGGATGGTCAAGCCAACGCAGAACAAAAATTTCTCTTGCCATAAACCTGACACTCTCAGGATCAAGATTATCAAATCGTACTTTCTTCAAAGCAACTGTCTTTTGGTGAGTCACATCACGTGCCTTGTAAACAGAACTGTATGTTCCTTGGCCAATCTGTAGGGTAAGATGCCATCTCATGACTCATTAAAGCAAGTTCAATGGAGAAAAATCATATATCAAGACTGAAAAAGTTAAAAAGGTAACTTCCGCAACTGGCGTTCTATGCTTTTCCAAGGGGGGAAAAAATGAAAATAAACCCCTTTTCAACACCAAAGCATTACACAACTATAACGTTTCTTGAGCCCTTCGCAGTGGAGGGGCTGAAATGTTGGTAGCCACCAACATCGAATGCAGGAATGCCAACAAATGCCGCATATTAGAACAGCTAAGTGATGCCAAAAAAATCAATCTCACTTAATAGAGTTGACTATCCTCTGTATATACAAATCTTAGGATATCAGTGTTTTCGACTTCACTGCTCTAATCAAATCTGAAAAATTGAGATCATAAACTTTGAACGTATAAATTTCCTAAAATACAAACGCCAATCAATTTGAAGAAACCGCTTTCAAGTTCGAGTTCTGCCACCCAATCTAAAGATACCAGGAAAAGAGTTTATTTGACATGATTTTTAGTGATTATCAAGTGCATTCAAAGGTAGCATTAATTACATTGCATTGAACTGCCGTACAAACATAAACAGAGCAAAAGAAGTAACTTACTTTATATAACCTCTCGAAAGTATTAGCACTCCGAGGTATCCATCCCTTGATAGCTTCACCAGCAACAGAAGATAGCCAAGCTGGCCATCCTGCCGCAACTTGTTCTCCTTCTGTAGCCTTTGGTACTTTACCAAGACCAGGATGATTAAGAACGGGAAATTCGGGTTTCTCACTTTTCTCCTCTCCAATTCGATCATCATAAAACGTCACTGAACCATTGGGTTTCTTGCTAATCAACGAAACTTTTACATCTCTGGCATCTATCACATTCTTGGTCCAAACTCCCTCATCCCTTTTTGATGAATTCAATCGTGAAACATTCAGCTCCGATGACCTTTTGCTCAATGACGACAATTTCGTTGTCAAACCTTCTCGGCTGTCCTCCACAGCTGAGGTCTTGGAGCATATGCAACCCATATTACGGCCAAAAGCTAAATTTTAAATAGATTATCCTTCAGAAGCGAAGATCACCAGCTAAAATTCTCACCTCTCCTTCATCAAGATTCATAAGCATTCACCGAATAATACTGTTCTCAGGATAGAATTGGGAACTTCTCCACATAAGCTCATACCTTATACAGGTTATTCTCGTCTGCCGAAAGTCGCGACCATGAATCAAATAATTCACGCTTCCCTCAACTCTGCAAATTTGTAACTGACCCAATTTAAAAAGAGAATGACTTGGCTTGAATTAATACGCAATTCAAGAACCCTCCAACAACCTTGTACCAAGAATCGTCAACTTTCATAAGGGAAAAATTTCCCAACCAGGAAAAAGAAGATCGTTATGCAGTGAAAGCTAGAGATCATCTAAAAGGTCAAATAATGGAAAGCAAGATACCTCTTGGACCTCTAGATTACGACTAATGGTAAAGATGGATTAGCTTAAGAAGAAAGAATGAGCAGCTTGGTTCCGTGGGTGATAGCTGAAAGTTCAACGCGTATTCATAAATTAAAAGAACATTATCCTAGACGTCTTGTGCTGGGCGTGTGTCCAGTGAAGTCAAATGGCTCCACTCTCTCTATCTATACAACCGTCAACAGCGGGAATCTCTTCATCTTCCTTCATTGTCAATGAACGATTGGCGTTTGTTTTGCGTTCAAAGCAGAGCGTTCAGTTTGGGATGGGCATTTGAATGCTACAGTAAACGCGTTTTTACATATTTCTTCGACTTTTCTCCTCTCTTCTTTCTCCTCCAGGCGATGGATGGACAACACAACACGAGAGAGTTATTTTAAAACACGATTAAAGTCTTGTTCACTTTGAAGATAAGAATATGGTTAAGAAAGCAGTCATTTATAGCCCGAGAGGGGAAAAGAACAGTGGTCAGCACTTTAGCACCATGAATAAAAAGACACGAAGTGGGATATCTAAATTCTGATGATCATCATAATAACCCCTTTGACTATAATTCGTATCAGAGCATAGTAAACGACAGAACAGTCGTCTCTGGAAATGCATTCAACGCAGAGAAAAATGTGTTTTGATTTGGATCGTTTCGATTTTTCTTTTGGTAATATATTGCTTAATTTGTATCAATATAGGATTTTTTGAACAAGATGACATTTTGATGTCAAAAAATAAAGGAATATTTTCAATATGTAAGCATAACGACTCACTGATAAATTTAGAGAAGTTGGCACAAAAAAAGAGATAAATTTAGAGAAATTAATATATCCGTATTATTTGATATCCCCTTTTTTTCCCTTATTACAAATACCTAATAACAACTTTACATAAAGTAATGAAATTAATTAAAATTAATTATTTCTTGTAAAAATATTAAGATTACTCATAATAGAAGTCATTGGTTAAGGAAGTTTGATTAATCGATTAGAAGTTTTATAACTAATTATAAATATTAGATGAAAAAACCAATACTTCAAAAAATATGCTGTACTGGAAAGCATGTTATGGGGTGCTTGTATGAAGACTGGAAAGATTAGTTGCTGTGAACAAAATATGTTAAAAATTGTTGGAAATAAATACGAATGTAGAATGAGGGGGAAATTTAGGTATTTTTAATTTCCTAAATTTAGAGGGGAAACTGAGTAAATATGAGAGACAAAATAGATTAGGGTCTTATATTTAGGACCAAAATAAAAATCAAATAGGATCTTATATTAAGGACAGGAAGTAGTATTATAATTTTCACTTTATGAAACTGGGAGGGTATGTCAAGATTTAAACTTGTTTTTAGTATAATTCGGATAATTTGATATTGTTGTTGTTGGCTTTTTTTTTTTTTAATAGGAATCCTGTATCGACTTCAATGTGTTGGGATAAACGACTTCGAAAGGTTTGAGTGTTTATTAATGGTGTAAATGCTCTCAATCGATTCAATATTGTGATTATGATCAACACCATTATAGAAATATTATTGATCAAGGTAAAATGATTTTGCATATAGAAAGTGAAGTGTGTTTTTGAAGGCTAATTTTTATACCCGGGGAATGATAAAAGGAGATATTTTTTATTACTTATATTTTTTAATACAAAAACTAGTTTAACTTTTAATTTGATTCTAAATATAAGATTCTAATTCATTTTATCTCTTATATTTATATTTTTTTTTCAAATAGGAATTACAGTAATTGTATATGTTGAAAATTCAATCAAATAATACTCCTCCGGTCCTTATTATAAGACCCAATTTGACTTTTTATTTGGTCCTAATTATAAGACCCAATCCATTTTGTTTCTTATATTTATGCATTTTTTCCAAGATAATCCTTCTAATAATAATAGTTTTAGCCAATATACTTAATTAGCAAGGATATTTTAGGAATGACAACACTTATTTATTATAAATAACCAACTTAACTTACTTCCTTAATCTCCTCAAATAAGTCAATTGGGTCTTATAATTAGGACTGGAGGAGTAGTTCTAACTAATACGTATAGTTAGTAAGGGCATTCTAAAAAAGACAACACCTAGTTATTACAAATAATTAACTTAATAAATTTTTTTAATCTATTTAAATTAGTCAACTAGTTTTTATATTAAAGACATGAGCTAGTGGTTTATAATCTCTTTGCTGCTTTGCTTATATTTTCATTTTAAAAAAATTACATTAAAGTTGAATATTGAAATTTCTGAAATATGTATCTATTGAAAATGAGATGATAATCACCATTAATTAAAAATATAAAGATCCAGGTGGGTTTAACGGATTTTGACCTGAGTGTTTTGGTTGGGCTTGACACAAGTAGAGGCAGAAGACGAGCTATTTGTATTGTAGCACGCGGGATTCATGCTAAAGGACCAAGGAATATCACAAACAATAAATGCGGTAAATAAATAAAAAAAAGAACAAAAAATGAAGGAACGACAGAAAGGGTTGGGGCAGAAATGGAGATGTATCCGACGGTGACGGACAAAGCTTCACAAACTAAACAGTCAAACCCAAAATCAAAACTCTCTGGCCAAAATCAAAACCGGCATAATAAGTTTAATAACGACGTGGTTTGACTTTGTGTCGCGGCTTCAGCCTGGCCCCACTAGAAGATTAAGGAAGTGTTTGGGTAAGATCTAAATCATGATTTCAGAAGTACTTTTATAGTATACGAAGTAAATATATAAAAGAATTTGTCTTAATTTACGAAAAAGTATTTATAAAAAATAATTATTAAGGTATTCAAACACCCCAAACCAAGGCTCTTGTCATTTTAACATAGAGATCCATGATCTTGATTATTTACCAATAGCTATATTTCACGTTCTTTTTGCCTACTGTGACGGTAATTATAACATATAAAGATAAATATTTTAAAATTTTAGAGTCATAGAAGGTCAAAAAATTTTAGACTCACAGAGCGTGACCGTGAGCAGATTAAAAGGGGGGGGGGACAAAGGATCGTAAAGCGTGATTATTTTATTTATATCTTTAGGCCCCGGCTCATAGTCACCCATAGTGAAAATCCAAGCCCAAGCAAACCAGGGTCGTGGACTCGGGGTTCGCACAAAACGGAGCAACTATTCGGGTTTTAATCCTCTAACTGCAAATGAAGTTCTTAAAAATAGTGCAAAGCAGCCTCATGACATTCTGACTCTCCAAGCACGTGGGCTCACGCTCTGATCATATTCTCTTAACTGACAACGTGGCATAGTCGATTGGGAAGTGTATACCACGCATACAGGATAGCGTGGTTGATGCTACTCATTGTTGCTCTATCTATCCAAAATCCATCATTTCACAATTTAATCAGGTTAAAAAAAATAAAAAATCCCAATTTAAACAGAAGAAGCTCGGACATAGCAGGGGGCAGAGGACTCGCCGTCCCAGACATAAATATCCAAAAAGGAAAAGGGGAAAACTGTTCGTTGGGCAATTTTCTAGACTGGAAAGGGAATTTGGATTTGGGACAGAAAAATTCAGACCAGCCTTTAATGGCGAAAGTTGCAGAGGAAGCAGAAACCGAGCCCACTTCACCCAGGCAGACACAATCTTCTTCTTACATGTTACTGCTAAGAATTATGAGCAAAAGGAGAACCTGGGTATGTATTTTCTTGCTTGTCTATGGCACCCTTTTGACTTGTTCTTGGAATTTCCTCAAATCCATGCTGTCTTGGTACAATTTACAAGCTCAATCATCTGCCTCATCTGGTTGGCCTGCCCTGTATGTTTCGGTGCTTCTTGGGTTTGTGTTTGGGGTGCTTTCGATGTTCGCGGCTCTGCTTGTGGTGGTTCCGGCGGTTCTGGTGACGTGGATCACCATCATCGTTTTACTGGCTCTCTTTGGGAAGCCTCGGAGGACTTTGGTGGTGGAAGGCAGGAAGATTACGAGGGAAATTTTTAGTTTTGTGATTAAGATTTTGTTCAAGGAAGGGAATGCTGTGGCTGCTTTATGTGCTGTTTTAGGGTATTTTGCTCTGGTCAGAAGGAATACTACTGAAGGTGGCACTCTTGACACAATTGGGTGATGGATTTGATGTTCGATGGGTTTGATAGGTCTCAGTATGAAGAGGTTGATGTTATGAGTTTTGGGCTTAGGTAGCTAAAGTTGTAACTAAGAAGGAAGGTTGGTGAATGCTAGTGTATTATGCTTTGGAAATTCATCAATTACACGGTGTCTTATCTTTTGGGTTTCTGTTTACGATAGGCTCTGGTTCTATTTATATCTTCTGCATATAAGTTGTTTTGCAGTGTTTGTTAACTCAACCTGGCTATTATGCCTCATCGTTATCGTATGTGTGACTTGTACAGTAAATTTATGTAGTTTAAGGCTTTGAGACTGGGAGAGGACAAGTTTAAGGGATTGGAGTTAATCAGTACGCAAAGGAAAGTTGAATATTTGATATACACTCCCTGAGTTCTTGAAAAAAGCAAAACCATGTGCACAAGACTGTGGTTGCTTATATTTTATGTTTAGCCCACGAATATATTTTGGCAATGATAACGCCTCAATCCTCGTCAGAAGTGTTGGAATATCCCTAAGAAGGGTTTCTGCTAGTTGATTGGGTATGTGGGTCAATGAAGTTGCTTTTAAAGATATAATCTAGTTATCTGTTGCCAGAGATATTTTCTCCCATTAGTGACTCTTGTCATGAAGTGAGCAGGTCAAGATAATGTTAATTTTACAGAGAATTCGAATAATTTGGTTGTTGAATGTATATCATCGATTTTGAAATGGTTCAACCTCGAGCCCTCTGCTTTTCCATTCTATACTGAGCTGGTAACTTGGTAGATCTCTCAAGCATGACGGGCAGAGTAGATCAGAAGCAGGCTATCCACAAGCCTTTAATTTAATTATTCTCTGTGTTGCCGTGTTCACTTCCTTGAGTCATAAACTTTTGCGTCTGGTGAACTAAAGCTATACACTACACATCTTCATTTGTTCCTTTTAGATTCGTCCGTTACCCTTAATTTTGGTTAGGAACTAAGAAAACACGTCTCTGAATAAAGTCGGCAAACCAAATATATGATTCCTCAACTTAATTTCTCTTCTGTTCTACCAAGATGTTGCAAGACAGAAGGGGGGGGTGTTCACGGCGCATCAAACTAGAATTTAAGGATTTAAACAAAACTCGATGACAAACATAATTGCCAGTAAAATTTGAAAGTGAAATGGGTCGTAGGATAAGGAATATGGTTGTAATGAGTGAAAGAAGAGGTTGCCCTAAAGACCCGCAATGACAGACAATAATGAAGGGTTGGTCAAAGCCTTAGGTTGCACAGCCATTGTCACGGGAAAAGGGTGAAACACAACATTCTTACACCGTCCCCTCTTGTCAGGTGCAGTGGTTAACTTTGGATCAAGTTGCAGAACAAAAGAAAGAGAAAGACGTTGTGTATAGAATACACCTTACCAGATCGAAGTGCCTATTGGCTATTATTATGATCTGGACATGAATATAACTCGAGCTTATCATAGCAATGGCCGAGAAACAGACTATTCGTTTTTCTGGAAAATGAGTTATAACTACAACTCACTTTATAATATCTAATTAATTATCAGGCTATTAAGAAAAAATTCAACCCATGATTAAACTAGTCGAAACTCAAAACTTGGTTTATAATTAGTGGTTCCACCGTAGTCAGGCCATGATTGAACGGGTTGTGAATACCAAATATTAAAAATCAATTTCAAATAAATAGCAATAAAATCAGAAAAAAAAAGCTTGTAAAGATAAAAATTTAAAAATATTTTTTAAAAAATTAATGTATATTATGTAATTTAAGCAATAAAATAATTTTGATATCTTAGATATTTATAATGCATCAAATTCTTTATAGTGTGTGTGTGTGTATTTCTTGTTCATTCGCCCGTTATTCTTCCATTTCAAATACTTATTAGGCAAAAATCCGCAGGAATCATCATTTATAAATATGGTTTAAACTTTTTTTTTTAAAAAATCGTAACATCCACCAGTCTCATGAGGACGAATTTCACCAGAATGAATCAGCAGCATCAATATTCAAAACAATATTTGAGAAAAGTTTGGAAAATAGCATTCAAAACAATTCTTAACAATATTCCTAATTGGTCCCTAAAACACAGGAATTCTTTTCCCTTCCTTTCCCCGTCTTAGAAGGATGATCACTAATTATGCTAAGAGCTAATAATCATTTACTGTACAATACCCTAGCTGCATCAGTGGAAAAAGGAATTATAATTAATTAATTGTTTACTATTATCACTAAATCTATAATATATATATATATATAAATAGCAAGAGCGTGCACCATATCATTGTGACATTTGATTCTTCATGCACATGATTAACTTTTTTAAGTAATCTGTGCACGCAATAAAAGAATCATTCTTACATTGGTCAGCGCAACATGATTTCTTAGTAATTAGCCTTTTTCGCTAGAGAATCCATTCAGTATCAGTGATTGCTTCCGAGTTATCGGTTCCTTGATTGTAACAAGTCATACATTAGCCTCGTTCATCGGCCCACGAATTATAAAGATCACCTAACAAGGAGATTGAGAATGACATTCTGCTTCCCATATGAGTACGTTCTGCTTTTTCAATTATCTATCATGGTTTTACAAAGTACTACTAAATTTAAACCATCAGGCATTCATTTTGACCCAAAAAAAAATAAAAATCAGCCAATCATGTCATACAGGATCTATTTTTCCTTTAAACTAATCCTGATCCGGCAGAAAAGGTTTGAAGGTTGGCCCCCCCGTTTTGCCGACAGGCTGGCTGTGGTTTCATATATTAAAATTTGTAGTTAGTGGTAAACAATCGGGCTTATTCAAGTATAATTCGATTATAGTATTTGCTTTGCCATTGATTTTATATAATTTATCGAATCCTTAACCAACGATGTCTTGTCTGCCTGAAAATTCAACACAATTGTGGTGGTTTCCTCGTGGAAATACAAACATATGCTTAAATACTGCAATTTGCAATCTCGGTCAGACAGTTTAAGTAGCAGAATATTTCCGACAGGTGCTTTAAAATCAACCCTAATGCGGAACCGGGCGCGGGACACAATGACACACGTTGCGAGTTAGCTTTGTTTTTTTAATTATACATATACAGTAGATAGATATATACTCCTCCGGTCCTAATTATAAGACCTAATTGACTTATTTGAGGAGATTAAGGAAGTAAGTTAAGTTGGTTATTTATAATAAATAAGTGTTGTCATTCCTAAAATATCCTTGCTAATTAAGTATATTGGCTAAAACTATCATTATTAGAAAGATTATCTTGGAAAAAAATGCATAAATATAAGAAACAAAATGGATTGGGTCTTATAATTAGGACCAAATAAAAAGTTAAATTGAGTCTTATAATAAGGATCGGAGGAGTAATTTGTTTTTCCTTGTTTGGTAAAAGGATTCAGGAAGTGTTAGTGCATTGGGGGGATGGCCCATAATTCCTGAAAGGGAACATTATTGGAATATTACGGAGTTGGTAGGAAGCGAATAGTTTAGAAATCTTATTTATAATTCAATTTACACAAAAAAATTTTAATTTCATTAACACTTATTTAAAATTTAATTTTTTAATTTAATTTTTATTTAATATATATTATATCTTATATCAAAACAATAATAAATAAAAAAACAAAATTTTATAGTTGTATAAAAATATTTGTGTCAGTGCGTATGAATTGGATCAAAAAAAGTCTTTTCTGAAGCGGTGTATCACAGCAATAAGTACGAAGAGACTGAAACAAACGTTTCGCCTCACGCTCACGATCCCTGCATTCTTTTCAACCCTTATCATCTGTATTTTTGACTCTTATGAAGGAAGGCTCGTGATTCTTTTGTGGTTTGATTGAAGCCTCCTCATTTCATGTACTCTATACTTAGCTTGCCCTATAAATTCTCTAATTACATCCACCGCAGCAATTTACAACTCTCTCAAATTTGGGGGTGCTTGGTGAACTTTACCAGGATCAGTTATATTCTCATCTAAAGTCACTAACTCGGGGGAGTTCTCGATAAAGAGCCGAAAGGGTATCTGGAAATCTCTTCAAGTTGTTAAATTTCGTTCGTTTTCATCTGCAATTTTGTAGTTTTGTAAGATAAATACATATAGAAGAATGTCGGCGGGAAATGCCCTGTATTACCCTATTCTTGGTTTTGCATCGTTTATTCTTTTCATTTACATGCCTTTCCGTGACTTGAAGCTTGGTTTTGATAAAGAGCCTCAATTGGCTTTTGTGACGAGAAATGGGACTCAATTTGTGTTGGATGGCGAAGCTTTCTACATAAACGGGTGGAATTCTTACTGGTTAATGTCTCAAGCTGTTGACGAATTTTCCAGATACAGAGTCCAGGAAATACTGCAAACCGGCGCGAAGATGGGTCTAAGTGTCTGTAGAACTTGGGCATTCAATGATGGCGATTACAATGCCCTTCAGACTTCCCCTGGTCAATTCAATGAACAAGTTTTCAAGGTAATGTTATTTTCCGTGTGTGCGCGCGCGATATTTCTGGGATTCAACCATATCAACTTGTCGTTTTAGAAGTAAAAGTCGTAGTTATGCCATGACAAATGCTTTTATGTTGTGTTGCTGATGATTTTTTGCGGCCTGTGTAAGAGGTTTAGCGTTATTTTCTGATCAATCAAAACTCGGCTGAGAGTTGGTTTGCAGGCCTTGGATTATGTCATAGCAGAAGCAAGGCAACATGGAATAAGGCTGCTTCTTAGCTTAGTTAATAACTTGCAACCATATGGTGGGAAGACTCAGTATGTCAATTGGGCATGGCAAGAAGGGATAGGGTTAAGCTCGTCCAATGATTCTTTCTTCTTTGACCCATCGATCCGTAGTTATTTCAAGAATTATATCAAGGTATTGACATGCCAATTCTTGTTGTCTTTTTTCTTTTCTTTTTTTTTTTTTGTGGGGGGGGGGGGGTGGGGTGTTGGACAGTATGTGCAGGGATGGAATGGTACAAGATTTTTTTCCCTTTTGAAATATTTTAGCCAAATTAGCATGTTTCACTCTGCTGGCTATACCTGTTGTTTGGCAATGGGTGGCACTTACAGTTTACTCATTTTTCTGAGAACTGAAGCATATTTTCAAGTGTTTATAAGTTTAGCCTGGCGATGATATCGTGAACTAGAAACCTTCTATCATTGCACTAAATCCTGAACCATCCAAATTTCTCCTGACAATAAAGTAGTAGTGAATCACGAAGACTCCATCTCCCGTCTCACACAGGTCAAAAGGATAATTATCCAAGGTCTTCTTGTACTTCATGCTAATTGCATTACCGATTCTCACCGCTTATTTTGCTGGTCATTCAAATCTTGGATCATTGTTTCCAACCCCTGAGAGTTGAGGCTGCTTTACATAAGCTGACCATTTCCTCTGTATTTTTTTTTTTTTCCTGCAGACTATCCTGACAAGGAAAAATACTATCACTGGAATTGAATATAGAAATGACCCTGTCATATTTGGTTGGGAGTTGATTAATGAACCTCGTTGCATGTCTGACCCTTCAGGTGACACTCTTCAAGTAAGTGTTGTATCTGAGTTTCAAGTTTAAACCTCTTCGGACCTTGAATACATATATATAGATAAAGTTATCAATATTAAATACTAATTTGAAGTTAAAATTTAATGTCGATCCTTTGCCCCTCTTTTAGTAACGTGTTGGGAGTGTGCTCCATGTAGCTAATGCAAAGTTCACTTTTCTGTTTTTCTTTCCTCAATTTCATGGTTCAGTGATGAGTTATTATGATCTCTGTTGCACACTTTTCTAGTTATTGTCTCACCATAACAGAAGCTGTCAATTCTCGATGAGTGCTATCCTAAATTGAGATTAAGGTTTTAAAGATTGCTCTTTAATTGTTGTTTACCCGTTTTTCTGATAAGTTTATGCAGCAATTTGAATCTCCTTCCACGGGATGTTTATAGAACAGAAGGCAAAATGGCCTTAAGCCTGTAACTTGAGTATTTAGAGTCCTGAGATTTTTCTTTTACTGTTCCATATAAATTCAAAGTAAAGAATGAACAGAATGTAAGCTGCCTCTACTCCTTTCTTGATGTGGTTTGGAAAATGAAGAAAATGAGAATTTTTTAACTGCTTCTTACGTGGATATCCAGGTATACCTTAACCCAATAGACTTGGAATTGCAGGAATGGATAGAAGAAATGGCATCTTTTGTCAAAGCGATTGACAAGAACCATCTGGTGACTGTAGGGCTCGAGGGTTTTTATGGTCCTCATGACCCAAAGAGCTTGACTGTCAACCCTGAGGATTGGGCATCAAAACTTGGATCTGATTTTATTCGCAATTCCAAAGTCTCAAACATTGATTTCACATCAGTTCATATTTATCCTGACCAGTGGTAGGCTTTGTATAATTTTTGCATGTGTAGTTTTGGTTTTGCCGCAATTCACAAAGGAAGTAAAAGTTATTTTTAGAACTTTTAGTTCAAGAACCCTCCAACCTTGACCCGGATTTTTAATTTTCCCCTGATTCGTTATTTTGATATAAATTTGTAATGTAGGTTTCATGATCAACTATTTGAAGACCAACTGAAGTTTGTCTCCAAGTGGATGCTTTCTCACATGGAAGATGGTGACAAAGTATTGAAGCGGCCTGTCTTGTTCTCTGAATATGGCTGGTCAGATATGAACCAAAACTTCTCAACAGCTGAGAGAGAAAAGATGTACAAAACCATTTTAAACATAATCTACAAATCTGCCAAGAGAAAAAGGTCTGGAGCTGGTGTTTTGGTCTGGCAATTCCTAGTTAGAGGAATAGAGGAGTTTGGAGATGATTTTACGCTGATACCCAGTGAAAATTCATCGATCTATCCACTTTTTGTCAAACAATCATGCAGATTGGCCAAAATCCAGGGACGTACTCTGCAGAACCGAAGTTTCAAAGAACTGTGTTAGCGACAAAGTTGAAAATTAAATATTTAATAATATTGTGGAAGTGAGGCCAAGATAAAAATATGGCTAGTTTTACCATAACCTTATATTCCATCATCGATGTTGAATTGAATTCGAGTGATGAGTTTACAGTACTTTTGTGAATCGAGCGATTAGTCGTATACGGTATTTTAGTTGTAGCACATATAAGGAGTTATGATGAAGTGTTGCTGTAAAGCTTGTTCCTTTGGTAAAACAAAATCGACAAGGAAAATGAGTTTATAGATATAACTGTATAAGGAATGCCTTTGAATTGGAACTGTTGATATTGTAACCAGCTTCTTTGCGATCTGCTTTCTTTTCACCGGGGACGTTCTTCATCTATGTTGCTTTTTTTTACCCTTGGAAATTCAGTTGATCATTTGACTATCGTTGACTAAGTTTTATCGCTTCTTTTGCATCAGTGACGTTTGGGCGACGTCAATAACGTAGTTGAGCCTGCAAAATCAACGAGTCACTGTCTGGCAAAAGTATTGAGTTTTCGTTGGCCCCCTAGAAACATGCATGAGTTTATGAATTTAGCCCCTAGAGCATTCCAGGAAAATTAATAATACGAAAATTTCATTGCTTGATTCTTCAAGAACAATGCCAATAAATTATGTGAATCGTGAAATCCAGGTGCTAGAGGCGGGAAGGCTTAAACTTCATCTCAAGATATCAGTGCCGGAAGATTAGGTAGGAGCTCGCAACCAAATTTTTAATCTTAGAGATATCCAATGAGAATAAAAATCTCTTCGAGGTAGCAGAAGTCGAACCTCTCAACGAGATTATCCATATCCTAGACGAGAGAAATTTGAGAATTTGGACCGTATAAAACAATTACCAGTTCTTCTTTTCTATTTCACAAAATAAAGCAAGTTCTAGGAGACTAAAAGCAACATCAGTACAAAATTACAAAGAACTTATGAATTTAAGCCATGTTTCCTATTAGCAAAACAAGGTAAATTAAGATGCGTAATTTCCAGCATAGAGCTAACTTAAACTACGCTTTGACAATCTTGGGGAAGTTCTAACCCTGTTGCCAGAAACAGGACTATGGTCTACTTGACTGTTTTTGGTGTTCTTCTCAGCCTTCTTCTTTCCCTTCGAATTCGATTTGTTTGCCTCTTCAACCTCCTTCATCGCAACATCATCAACATCATCACCTCCTTTTTCCATTCTCCGACTACGGGTCCTCAATGCCATTGAATCCGATCTGTCCGGAGAACTCTCAGATGGGCTTCCTTTTGTAACCTTCTTGTTTCCAGAATCAGACACAGAACTCCTCTCACTTGCCAAGGCCACCTTATCAAAATCATCGCCAAGCTTCTTCACCAGCCTTCTACGAACCTTACGATTCACTGTTTCAACCTCCTCTTCCTCTGGACTTTCTTCCTCCTCCTCGTTGCTCTCCTCAATCATAGACAGGAACCTTCGTCGCTTTGCCGCAAGGGGAGCCGGTGGAGGTGAAACCGGAGACGCCCTTTTACTTCCGGCAACGTTCTCGCCTTTGGATCCAACAGGAACCGAAGCAGCAACGGGACTGCGATTAAGCTTCTTGAAGAGCTTTTCACGTTCGGCACGGAGCTTGTTGACGTTACCCTCGATCTTTCCCTGGAGGCGTAAGCGTTTGAAGCTGATACCGCCCATGGACCAGTGAGCTTCGTGGGCCCAGGACATCAACGGATCGGCGACTGATACCGGAGGATCAACACGATGATCATTAAATTTGACGTCGTCGTAGATCCGTGGGCGCGGAAGGCTAGTGCCGTAGAATTTGCCGGGACCGAGAGAGACAACCATTGTTAAACAGAGAATCAGAGAAAAGGAAGAGACTGAAGAAGACGAGTAAGAAAATTTAGTATGCTGGAAAATGGATTGCGGAAGGTAGGGGTTATATACAAGTTCGACGGGCGCGGGTAGAATTCGGCGGGAACGATGTGGTTGGCGGGAGGACTTGGCGCTCCCCGCAGCGCTGAAAATTTGAGGTTTCATAATGGGCTTGGGCTTTTGGTTAGTACACGGGGAATGACATTAGACCACGCAGCCCGGATCCAGAATGTCCCCCGGTTGTTTTTGTGCCTTTTTTTTTTTCTCACCTTAAGTTTTTGTCCCCCCCCCGGGGGAAACCTGAAAATAATTTATTAGTTCATGTATAACTATCGTGGATCTTACCTTTTATAATCTTCAATATTCATGTAAAATATAAAAATCCAAGAAAAGGGGCGCTCGATCTTGTTTTTATGCAAATTTCTATTTATTTTTTAATAATTATCTACATATTTTGATGAAATATATTAATATGAATGTTTAAAAGGGTAGAAACCTTTGATACATTTTAGGTTGTTATTTTTCCAGGTTCATTGTACCCCTTAGAGAGAAAATATTTTTATCCTATTTATAAAATATTGAGAGAAATTTTTTTTCTGATTTAAATAAAACACACTTATAAATAAGATCAGAAAAGTGAGTTAGAAAAATAATTAATTGCCGTTAAATCTATTTGGACTGTAAATTACCTGACTGTGACTGTTATTTCGGTTCGCTCTCTTTATTGTTTTTTTTTTCCCCAGCAGGTTCGCTTTCTCAATAGATCAATGAGCCTAAAAGCTTTCCACCTGAAAATTTCCGTCAGTCCAAGAACTTCTTGTCCCCTAAATTATACGTTGTGGAAGGCGGCTCCTTCACTGAGGGCGGTGATTTTTACAGGCAGTTCTTGTAGACTTCATAATGTGTTCCTATCGGTGTTTAGAAATGTTTTTGCCGCCATCTTGTCGAGTTCAAGCTCCCTTTCCATATGTTCTAACAGTCGGGCAGGATCAACAAAGAAAAATTCCACTCAGTTCAACCACTTTTAATCATCGTTTCTCTTTCCATAAAAAGGAAAGAGAACAAAAAATTAACCTTCATCTGACCTGCAAATCACTCAAGGTCCAAACAAGCCTCACTATATCCCCCCCGGCTCCCAGCCTAGAACACATCAAGCAGAACAGTAACACCACTGACCTATAAAGCATCATAGATATATGTGCGTGCTTAATAGAATGAAATCTTCTCCTTAGTGCTTCCTGTAACGATAGAGTACGGATTCACTTTCATCATAAGGTATCGAATATTATTGTTCATGCGGCTTTCTCGTTTAACCTGCAATGGCTGTTATGGATCGGTAGGCTGTGCTTCACATAACTCAGAGCTCAACATATGATGAAGGAGAGCATCAACCCTTTGGCTACGTGTTTTGGTGCTGCAGCAAAACAAGACAAGAAGAGCATCATCTTAGGGCTTGTTTGGATTGACTTATAAGTAGCTTTTCAAACGTGATTTACGGAATACGAGGTAAGCATGTGAGGAGAGTTTTGTCTCGGCTTACGTGAACTTGCTTAAAAGCCCGTTTTGAACGGAGCTCCAAACAAGCCCTTAGAGTCAGCTTAAATAAAGATAGTCGATGTTGGCGCATGCAGAAGTATTGCCAGTTACACATACCCAACAAGTCGTCTTCGATGTCTCCCTCCTTCACCTTCCTGCAAGACGGTAAAACATGGTATCAGAAACTAAACAGAGGTTCAACAAGTTTCGGTAGAAGCTGAAAACATAGGCACATGACGAATCATAGAATATTAACACTGTACTACATTCATTATGTGAAAGCTAGTTAAAGATTAGATTTGATCATAAATATAAAACCTCAATCTAATTTGTCTTCATGTTTTTCTAAATATCTCTATCGAGGTATTTTCATTAAGGGTGTGTTTGGTATGAGGGATTTGGGAGGGAGGGAGGGGAGGGAAAGAGAGGGATTTTAATCATTTCCTTTTGTTTGGCAACACACAAATTTTAGGAGGGGAGAAAAAAATTTTTAAATTTCCCCTCCCCTCCCCTCCTCAACCTCCCCTCCAAAATTGGGAGGATTTGGAGGGAAAGGGCAATATTTTGTCATATTATGACCATTATGCCCATATTTTGTCATATTGTGACCATTATGTCTATATCTTATCATGTTGTGACCATTATGTCCACACCTTAAATAAAATAAGAGCAAAATTGTCCATATTAAAATATTTTTCCCCCCCCTCCCCTCCTCTCTTTTTTTATAAATCCAAACAAGATAATATTAAAATCCTTCCACTCCCCTCCCTTCCCCTTCCCTCCATTAAAATCCCTCCCCTCCCTTTCCTCTCATTGAGCCAAACATACCCTAAGGAATGATGCCAATGGATATGATTAAAGAGGGTAAGTTAAGAAAATCAACACATATTTGTTACAATTAACCAACTTAATCAATTTTCTTAATTTTCTCAAATTAGTTATCTAACTCTTATAATAAAGACCAGAGATAGTATATGCTAATAGCGTCAAGAGCAATCCCAGACTGAGATACAATATGATCATGTCGAAGTATATGCTAATAGCGTCAAGAGCAATCCCAGACTGAGATACAATATGATCATGTCGAAGACACTTAGGTTGGAGCACTGAAATTATCATATCATGGTGGGAGTGTTCAAAAAAAGTGATAAGAAGGACTTCTAAGGAAGATGAAAAATCTACTGAGAAACCATTAGATAAGAGTTAAACATTAGCTACAAACCTTGTCGTCTTCTCTAGTATCAGCAGACGTCTCAAGCTCCATTTCAGCAAAGAATGCCTCCAAGACAAAAGCAACAACCTAAAATAGAGGGAAAACATAATCCATGTTAACTCTCGAACACTGTACATAAGGACAACTGTTTGTCCACCAAATATGAAAACAAGTTGAATATGTAAAGAACGGGCATTCGCAGTTCATGCCTACATGAAAAGTATTGTGACTTCTTGTAGCTTAATAAGCTTTCTACTGTAGAAAGCTAAGGCCAATACATAATCATAAAGGACTTAAAGAAGCACAAAATAAAGCTTACCAAATTCAAAAGCAGTAGAATAGTTATTAGGTAGAAGCTAATAAAGTAAAGATAGCTCCAAGAAGTCCCCGTTAATTCCTTGTAGCTCTGACATGGAAAACCACAAAATCCATGTGTTAAGTGTATCTGATATAGGAAGTCATTTTTAAATAATGACAACCATAAATCTAATACTGGCTAGTGGGAATAAACATCCCAAAATCTGACATCAATGACATGCAATTGGATGTTCACAGATACTTATGATGTACTGGATATTGACGTTAGTGAAGGACTCATTTGACAAGGCCTTACAATCAAGCTAGCAAAACAAAAAAAGCTTTGCCTTTGAAGTTGATGCGACAAGAAAGAGCATTCCCAAGAGTGGACCCTCTTCAGAGAGAATGATACTTTCTAAGACGAAGGCAACTCTACTACAGCAGTCATTATGGACCCAATGAGGACAGTGAAAATGATAAAATTCGGCGTTGTATTCATACCTGCATCCATATGTGCCAGTTTCCCATGACTACCAAATTGAAAAGTGTAACCATCCCACTTGGATAATCGTTAAAATTAAAGAGCAGATAGCTATTATATGTCAAGAAGAATCATCCAAGAGCAGAAGATATTAATAGCTATTCCTCTAGTCTTATTTTTTGTCCTTAATATACAGTTTCACTTTTAATTTATTGTTCTGTATACTGTTATTTATCGAAAAGTGAATATTAAATAGAGGTAAAGTTATAAAGTTATTAAATTTTAAAACCAAGTCAAGGGAGTTTAAGGTTTTTCTTGATTTCGGTGAAACATGTTGGAAATGTCTTATAAATAAGACTAAAGGAGCATTTCTAAAATGGATTAGCTACAATCATTGAACATGATTTTATAGATGAACAAAGGATACTCATTGTCAGCAAGACCTGTCGCTTCCAATTTGGGATTTCCAGCATTGACAATTCCGCCAAAGATCTACTAATTCAGAATACATAATAAGAAGTTAAATAGTAGAACCCACAGCTACACCTCAGTACACAGAATAATAAACAAAGAGATGAAGGTAGACAGAATTTTCTTGGGTCCATTGTTATAGCAGTGAAGGCAAGCATTAGAAAAGAGTAAGATCATTGCCATAGATAAGGTTAAAATAATTAATCCTTAATTGTACTCACTAATGAATGTCGAAAAATGCTCAATACTCAATTACGGGACCCCCCCCCCCCCCCAAAAAAAAAAAAAAAAGGAAGGCGTTCTATTCACCTGCACACCAAGGGAGCAATAAATACACAAGATACAAAATATGGTTCCAAGGTATGGCATCAAACTTGGTATGAGAGTTAGGAAGGTTGCCACAAAGGCTCGATATTGCTGGACATGCATTAGGAGTCTTATCAACCTCAACATTCTTGCAAGAAGAAGGTACCGAATCCTGTAAACAAACACATACTATCTTCAGGGCTTAGCAGAAAAGAAACTGAGTTCCTCTTAAAATTGTAAATTTAAGCTGACAAGACACGCCAAAACTTGTTTTGCAAAATATAAAATCTGATCGGGGGTTCAGGATCAGCTTAGCAAATTTATCATAAACTTGGGAATTTTGCAGTTTGAGAAAATCCTTAAAATAAAACATTTTTCTCCTTGAGGTAATAATGATGATACATAATGTATGATTAAGAAACCCTGAGAAGTGCAGCACTAGTCACTATGTGTTGACCAATTGATATGCACCACTACTGTGCACCCAGAAAAAAATACATATAGCACATGAACATGTTCAGAGTAAAAAGGCCCATACCATTCTCCATTTGAGAAAAAAGACAGTCCTTCAGGTGTAACAAAAGTTATAGTTTCTCCAATGACTGCAAAAGTTTGAATCATTAATCAGAACACCATGAAATAGCCTTAGAACTCGGTTTTACCCACATAACATCAAAATTGAAGGCCGCAAGATGGACGTAATGGGTCATGAACATAGAGCCCCCAATATTCAATAAGGAATTCCGGGAATCCGTAAATTCAATCAGATATTGTTTAAAGAAACAAAAAATTCCAGATAATTAGAGCCCTACCAATTACCCATGTGATGATAAAGTCAAAGCGATTTTGACCATCCCGCCAATAATTCTCGAATCCATATGAATAGACTTTTAAAGCCATTTCTATTACATATATCCAGCCTGTAATACAGCAAGGAAACCATCAACAGAATGTCAATTAAAAGCTACGCTGCAATATGATGTACAACATTGAATTTGAGTTCATAAGTATCAGAGAAATTATTAAAATTAGCCAGCATCAATGTAGAGTCTTGCAAAAAAGTTGGTATAGATAGAGGGAAGTGACATGCAGCTGAGTTGCAAAAATTCTTAACTCAAATTGGTAGCTCAACATGTACTGCAGAATTAGATAATAAGCCTGAAAGCAAGAATATAAACTCTTTTGTCCACTTACCAAAAACAAACTCAACCACTTGCCACACCTTTTGAGCAGAATTATTTTGTATATCAAGCTGCAATAGTAAGATAAATTAATAGCATGCCTTTGAAAATCAAATCAGACTAGAAGCAGCAAAATATTACAAAATCTAGGAGGGAAGAGTTATAACACTGACATAAACAACATATTACTCCTCTATTAAATTATATAAATATGACGTTTCAAAAATAAAGGATTGAGGTGAATTTTCTGAAAATACTAAACAACATTCAACAAAGATATGTTCTTTGTTCTAACTAATAAGTGTACTTTAATCCATCAATGGAGCATATGATGCGGGGAGAGCATCTAACATAATTCATTAGCATCCAGAGTCAACAATGGATGCTACTACCTTTGTCAAACATCATTTCTAGAGCATATGATGTTTTTGTAAGACTAAATGTTTTCCTTAAATATTGTTTCCCGAGAGTCTCCTCTTTTTTGCTTTGTTTTCTTTTCCCTTTTTAATTCTCGGATTCCAGGCTAAAAGCTTAAGCTTCAGTTAAATGGTTCTTTAAGACTTTAATAGATTTTGACTCCCTTCTCTCGCATCAAACAAGAGTCAATACTACATCTAAAATCAGTGGTTAACAAGAATAAACAGATCCAGCAAAATCATGTTTGCTTGGACCTAATAAGCCTATGTATTCATTTATTAATATGCCATAAGGTATAAGATACCATACCGTTGTCTCAGTTATAACAGCAATCAGATTCAATATAAGAATGAAAGATATTAGGTATCCAAACTTTGGGCTCCGCACAAATGCTTTCAAATTCTTGGAGGTGGGAGCGTGGTAGAATGAACAATACTCAAAATAAGATGGCTGCAATAAGAACAGAAAAAAAATTAGATTATAACCCATCAGCTTCCAAATGTTCTAGCATTATCTGAACTTACAGTGTCTTCCTTCTGAAACTTCAAAGCAATGGCGTTGCAAATATCAGCAAATTCATCCTTGTTGATCTGAAATAACAAAGTTGAGCAGTGCTGAAAATTTTAATATAACAAATATACAATCAAAACGTTATGTTTTGGCAAAAAGAAAAAGAAAATTCAAAATGTTATGTATCAAATCCATCTTACTGGACAAGTGTACACATTAAGATCATGCGTAAAGACAGACGTTGGAAAAGCTATAAGCACGGATGCAAGTATACATTATCATTTGAGATATGTGGGTTCAAGCAACAGGGAACACCATAATCTGCACAATCACATACATAAAAAGTTGTATATGCAAAATATATAACTGAAGCTTGCAGAGAAAATACACCTTTACATCATGACTATCATCCAGCTCATCAAATATCAACTCAAATTCTTCCCGGGAGATATTTGGCAGAGTCCTAAAGAAAACACGGATAAATTCATGCTTCAACATTCACAAGGTGGAAAGAAGATTATACGCAGATACAAAGTTAGGACCAAAATAGCAAGATCAGCTTATATGGTTAATCCAAGAAATTAAGAGCTTTTTTGTTGGAAGAAGAAGAAGAAGAAACAAAACCTCTTTTATATAAATAAATATATGGGAATTCGGGTACAGTTTTAACTGAAACCATTATGAGCAAGCAACAAATGAATAATACGATGAATCTGAAATAATTATTGAACACAAGTAAACACAGTATTACCTGTACTTGTTCAGCTCCTGAAAGAGTTGAATGCATTGGTTTTTGTTAAGATACCCAACATTCTGCAAGCAAAAAAAATTAATCTCATATAGCTTCAGAATTAAAACAAATGAGTTGCATGTAATCGCAAAAATAACCCTTCCAAAGCATAGAAACCAAGTGATAGTCAGTGTCACAATTTGAAAGCAAAAAATAAAGGGTCAAATTAAAAATGATTAAATGGCCTATGAGAAAAGGGTCATCTATCTTGCTTCCCCTTGGTGTCCTATTCATGGATGTTCAAGAAAGTCTCTTTGACTGATATGAATACGCATAGGATGGCACTATTGTTTTCTTAAGTTCAGTTTCCTTTCATTGCCTTCTCCTTTCCCCTTCCTCTTCTGTTTCATTCTAAAGGAGGCTGAAATATCCCCCTCTCTTGCAATTCATGTCCTATCTGATGAAGATACTGACCCACTGTCTCTATATTCTTAACAGTAGACATGATAGTACAGCCCCAAGTGGCCAGATAATTACTACTGACAATGTATCTACATCCTAAGCCTAGAGCACCTTTGAGCTTCTGTGAGTTCAAATTCAATCTTAGTCCCACCTAGTTCTTGTAAAGATTTATTAGTCTTTTTACTGCTATTTTATACACAGACGCTTACTGGGTTATTTCCTTTCTCAAATAAATAAACTGCGCCCTAGGAGATTCTATTATTCTGAGTTTCAGGGAAATTATACAGTCCACCCTAACTTTGAAGGAAGAGCAAAAACAAATATCCTTTAAGATGCACAAAGACATTAAAGGAAAAACCGCCAAAGAAAGAAGGGAAAGAAACTTCTATATAGATTGGCAATGCGCATCACAAATAATAACAGTAATAATGGAATGAGTGAATGAACACACTGACACACACCCACGTGCACACATATATATAATGCAAAAATGAAAGACCTGCTTGCAATCTGTACAATTTACAGATGTCGTTTGGAACATGACCAACAACCAAAATAAAAAATAAGCTTACATCCTGATCCAATAGATCAAATGCTTTCCCCAGCATATTTCTTCTCATTCGATCCATCTCGAAAACTTGTTTTGCAAGCTGCAAAAACAGTATATTAAAGTGCTATCAGCCATCATTTTCATTTTCTTTAGGGAGTATATAAATAATAAACAATAAAAACTCTTCTACATTCCAAGTGAAATTCTAATGAGTAACTATATGAGAGAAAGGTCAACAAATAATGCAACATTTACAGTTTTTTAGTACTGGATACCTCGCTCTTGAAACTGTCATAAACAACGGCGAGGACCAAGTTTGTGACAAAATATACCCCCAGCAGCACGAAGAGAACAAAAAACAGGCAATACCAACGTGAAGCCCTAAAAAAGCCAATAAAATGAATAAGCACTGGTATATCACAATAAAAAATTGAAAGAAACATAAATATAACCAAAATTATTTACATAGAGATATGAGATACTCAAATAAATATAACCCTATCTCATTTGAGTACCCATCAATCTCCAAGAGGATTAGCTTTATCCAACTACTCAATCAAATTCAGAACAGTAATTACTTGGGATACACTTAACAAAATACGGCTACAATCTAGGATCCCCATTAGGTCATATCCTACAGTATAATTATTTCATCTGTGCTGATAACGATGGCATTTTCTATTCAATAAAAATGTTGTGGCCAACTTACAAGCCAAGATAACAACTAATCTAAGAATTCTCATGAAAGTAAGCCCTTATGAAATTTGCAAACGCTTCAAAGAAGAATACACCTCTCACATGATTATGACATCTGGAAACAAGATTTTCATCATCAAATCCAACATGAAAAATGAAAAATGGTGAACATCAAAATTATATATTTAAAGCAGTTAAAAATATTAAATTGCTTAGACCTCACATTTAACAGCAGATCATGACAAAAATGGAAATTTAAAAATTTCTCCAACATCTTACTTGTATGCAGGAATCCAAACATCTGGATTATTGGATGTGGTAAATAAAACAAACAGCTGATATAATGTGGTGCCATAGGAACTGAATACTAATTTTCCCTGTTCTGTATCTTCAAACATCACATAGGCCACCCAACTTGAGAAAAGAAGGAACAGAAGCCCCAGAGCCTGCAATTCATGAGAATTAGACAGAATGCAGTGATTGGTAGAGAACAATGAATCTTCCCAATAGAAAAAATCTGAGAGTTGTATATGGGAAAAGCAAAGAGCTAGGAACGGAAGTAAGATAGTAAACAAACCAGGACATTCAGGTATGTGCCAAGCATTCCAGCCAAGATGGTAATGGTTGCTCGTAATTCCCTAAAATTTCATTTGAGTGTTAGATTATTTCAAACAACGGAGATGCAAGGGCATTTTCATTTAGTCCAAATATGGAACAGTTCCCAATGAAGATATGTGAAACATGAAAAGTGAGGTGATAAAGTACTAAATAATACCTGCAAGAATATCATGATCTCTGATCTTATAATGCCAACTATTCTAATCTTCCCTTTCCCTTTCGATCTTTCAGTTAAGTAAAAGGTAGTAAACAGAGGCACAGGGACTCCGTGTGAGAGAGAGAGATTTTCAATTTTTTATACTTCCTTATGTTGTGAAATATTATCATGTTTTACTCCATTAAAAATGGCATGTCAGCAACAGAGACCGCTGAAAATCTGATACAGGAAATTCCAAATCTTTTGAAATATTTTCCCCTATATTCCCAAAAATCAAGATCTCAAAGAAGATACAGATGAAATTATTTAGTAACAAAATATAATTATCAATGAGGTGTCTGACTCTTTTCTCAACCAATAATGCCATTGTTTAGTTTCTATGTGTGAGATATGTGGTAGGACAAGGAAAAATAAATATTGTCAACAAGGGCCCACTTTTACAATCAACAACCACCGGCAGGCATGAATGTTAGTTACAACACAAAAGACGCAGATAAATAAAAGAAGTCCTGTATTCTACCTTATACTGAAGTCTCTGTCCTTTTTTATTTTTTCCAGTTATGTTTTGCACTCAACAATTTCTTGCATGGATTTTTTGATTTCAAACAAAGCCATGATTGTAATATTTTCATACATGGGTTTGAAAAGCAGAATTCTGAAAATTGTCTTAGCACTAACTGGGGAGAAAAATAGGTACTGCAAAAATACCTAATATGTAAAATGAAAAGAATAACCCTGACATAAGGTGCAAATCTGACAGGTAGAGAATAATAAGTCACCGGAGACAAATACAGAGCATAAACCACCATATCAGCAACCAGAACTAACAGACACAGTACCTGTATGCACCAACAAATCATTTTATCAGTAGATAAGAAAGAATATTATATGATAGAGCTTAAAGAAAAGATAAGCCGAAAGCGATATTTTGCCTCCATCACACAAAGTCCAGATTTGAAATAAGAAATTTGCAAATGAACATAAGCACAGCAACAACATGCACTGCATTAAGCATATCAGCTGTTTGTGCTTGTCGGTTTTGGTCGTTACTCATTGTTGTATAATTGCCTCTACTACTAATGTCATATTGTCATAACTAATTAAACAGCTAATGCTGCGTTAAATTTGGTATCATTCAGCAGATATTCTTCCTCAGTGACTGAAACAGTGATAGTCTAACCATATGAAGATAGCATTACATATTTCTGGATTGCATATTCATTAACACTCAAATTCAATGAGGATTTGCACCAACTTCGCATGTCTAATATGTCTCTGTTCTCTCTTTTTTATTTTTCTGCAATTCTTCTTGATATTGATGCTGCATACTACTCAAACTTTTCTTACAATATATATTACCATAGTATCATATATTTCTAACACCATGGCACCATGAAAAGGTTTAAAACAGCACAAATGGGGACATTGAATCCATTCACTAAAAGGCATACCATTCTTCACTGGAAGGAGCGATTTAAGTAAACGTAGCAACTTCCCCAGAAATAAGTAAAATCATAAAATATATTCATAAGATACCGGAGCCGCACCTTCAATTGATTAAGAGTTTTTTTCCAATATATCCAGGAGCCTTCATAGAATATTGGGAAAAAAGTATGTACGATAAGCACAATGAGAGTTATACCCTGTACAGGAAACAAAAAGGTCATACAACACATTATACCAGAGATAACTAAGAAAATAATAGAAAGACACTTCAACAACCTGAGAGGTTAAGCAAGACACTAGTTTGGCATGAGCCAGTCCCAATTGTGGTCCCGCAGCCCAAAAAAAAATCAGGGGTAATTTTCAATTTATGACATAATTGTACAAGAATTTGACCAAGTACATACTTTTTATATCCCTCCAAACTCCAAAGCGCTTACTTAACAATTAATCACACTGTCCACAATATGCATAAAGTAAACAAGCCAATGAAACAGAACGATGCCATTGGCAGCTTTGTATGAATTTAAAAGCACGCCTGAATGACATGCTTACATTCAATGTTGCCAAAGGTATTCACTAGTTTTAGGGAGAGAGACTCAAAAAAGTTCATCAAGAAATCATGCAATTACAAATAAATGCTGTCTAAAGAGCCATATACTCTCACCTCATAAATAACACATTCTGTACCAGTTAGATATGGCAGTTGTCCCAGAAAGAAATGCTCTCTATCGTCGCAAGAATAAGCGGTATACTTGTCACACCACAAGGGTTTCTGGACGGTGCAAAGCAATATGAGAAGTCTATTCACTTCTGATTTCATTTTTCCTTTAATTAAAAGCCTTACACCCAAGGAACAAGTGGAAGTGAAATTAATACTGACCTCAAGGAAATTCAGGACTAGCAGAGCAAAGTAACCAAGTGACCATATAAAGTTTAATTTAGTAAACATGAAATAAAATCTAGCGGAGCTCTGAAAACTCGACGAATCGAGTACTTGCTCTGGGATGCCGACGCCGTCTTCAGCCTGCAGAATGCAACCCCAACCAAATCCAGGAGTATAAACCGATCAGAAAGGAAATATGCATATTGACAATTGCCACTTAGTTACAAAGATTTCTTCCACTTCAATAGCAACCCGAGAGCTATATTAAAACACAATTAAGATTCAACTTAGCAGACAACACATTAGCTTGTCAGTGAAGTTACCGCAATCAAGGAAAAGTTAAAAAAATGTCGAGTACGAGACAGAAGTACAGAACGAACATAAAAGGAAAAGAACCAACCAGATCGACAAGTGCAGCCGCTTTCACGGTGGGCGAACCGTAAGCGATAGCATGCGAGCGATGAAGGAATAACCCCGGCGATGGCATCCTCTGACCACTGCTTTCGCCTTTGAGCAAAGGCTCCATCTTTGTTTGCGAGCACTTTGCAGAAGTAGAAGCTACCAGTTATGAGATCAAACAAAGACTAACGTAAACTTCTCTTCTGGAATGAACTATGTGATAACGAAGGCCTCAACCTCAACCGAATCCGAAAGTAACGTTTTTTGCCCCAGCTGAATAGTTGATCTATACAAGTTCTTCCTCGGTATTTTATTTTATAAATACAAACTATAGTTGGTGTTCAGAAATCAGATCAGAATATCCATTTTTTTATTGCTAAAATGAAGCCGATTGGGAGAGAGAAGAAAGGTGACTATTTGTAGGAAATAATAACTATAATAGCCTAAATAACAACGAAACTAACGCTTTAAAAAGTATCTGATTTATGTCAAACCGACATGTGTTCCGATTATAATTAGAAAAGGAGTGGAAGAAAATGACGGTACGGGAGAGGATAGCATGCCAAAGAGGGGTGATGATGGAAGAAATAGAGTACTTATCTTTGCCTCCGGATCGCAATGGCCGTGGCCTGAATCGATGATATGGACATTGGTCCCAATTAAAAGAAGGGGGCGAAAAAAAAAGAAGAAGAAGGATGAATTGACTCTGAGTATTTATTTATGATGAGGGGGTAACGTGTCGACATGAACTTGGATCCACATTAATTAGTCGACGTCCGCCAGCTTAGGCAATCGTATCCACGGTGTCGGCATAATATTGTCAGCTTAATTAAGAACCTCAGTTCGACATCTTTCACTCTTTACTGGAGGATACGTTTGGATTGTACCAGATGATTTCTCTCCCACCGTGTTTTAGTACTTCATTCAGACACATCGGAATGCGATGACTTTTCAGAGTTAAACAGCCGATCCCAATCCATGTGCACTGCCAGGATCATTGGGAAAACAAGAACGATCCACCAGCATTAAAGGTACGATTTTTGCCCTCAGGCGTGGCTTTTCTACTTATTGCGTCTTGTACATCGATCCGTGTTGGATCAATGGATTAAACACATTCAACATTGACGCTTCTTTTTTTTAATATATATATTTTTCCCTCTCCACGGTCACAAACCCAAAAAAAAAAAAAAGATATACAGATAACGCGTAAAAAGCCAAACAGCGAATATCACGGAGCGACTCTCAAACGACTGTGCGTTTGGGAACATCCTGTCAAAAGGACCACAAAGCGTGGAAAGTTACCGTTGCTGATATTGGATCACAAAAAGATGAGCACATGCAAGAGCATGATAGGTCAGTCTCAAGGAGCAAGAACCTTTTGGAAGCAACTCAACAAATGTACAAAAAACTTTTCGGAGCCAATTAAGGAAATTGCTTGTTCGAATTGGGAAGGATGTGATTGCTATTCTACGGACTACGGAGTATCGATTGGAATTCTGCTATTAAAGTGGAGATTCTGTCAGCAAACAAACAGTTGCTCAAAACGCCACTAATCACTCTCCATGGCGGACAGCTTGGTATTCTCATAAAAATTACGCAAAATCGAATAAAAAATAGTAACAGAATTAAAAACTATTTATGGGGACAAATTTTTAATCGATGAAAATTTGTTATATTTTAATGTGCAGAAAATATAAAATTTTGATAGAAAATATCGAAACATGAGTTGAGACAAAATTAAAATGGGTCTTATGTCCAACACATAGGGCCTGTTTGAGAGGGTTTAAGAAATCTCCTATAAACACGTTTTACGTAAATCGAGACCAAACTCATCTCACATATTTATCTCACATTCCGTAAATCACTATTGAAAAACTATTTATAAACTACTTATAAGTTGTTCCAAACGGCTCATAATATCTATTGTCTAGAGCCGGGAATCAGGGCCGGCCCTTCAGGGCTGGCGGGCTTAAAAGGGCCGGCCCTCCAGGGCTGGAATTTTAAAAATACCCCAATTTGCTAGGCCCGGCCCTTAAGCTACAGGGCCAGGATCGGCCCGCGGGCTTTTGGCCCGTTTAAGAAAAAATACTATTTTTTATATTTATCATATTTTTTATAAAAATAAATCAATGAAATTATTAATAAAAGACATAAATATGAATAAAATTAAGTCACATATAAAATATCATCATATATAAATATTCATCAACATCTAAGAACATCTAAAACATTCATTAACAAGATAACAACATCTAAAAGTTTTATCTATAATGCAATTGTGCAATAAATAAACACTATTATTAATCTTTTGAAACTTCATCATCACTATAATTAATTACTTTTCTTCATAAGTATACTTTTCTTGCGTAACAAAAATATCAAGTTTTTCTTCTTTATAAGAATTTTATTTTTAAATTTTGCAATCTAACTATTTTTTTACTTTAATGTGAGAAACATTGCTGTTAAAACTCATGAATTTCTAATTCAAATTATAGAATCACAAGTTATATAAGTATAAAAATATTCTATTATCAAAATATATATATATAGTTTAAAAATATCAACGCATATAATATAAATCAAATCATTATTAAAGTCCAAATTAACCTATTTTTTAAAAATTTAATTGGATAAATTATTATCTAAAACTAAATTTACTTTTAAAATGATAATAATAACTAAATATTTGAAATATCATTAACAATGTAAAAAATTAATAACATTAATATTATATAAAAAAATTTTAAAAATAAAAAAAATATAAAAGGGCTTAAAAGGGCCGGCCCGTGGCCCTCCAGGGCCGACCCTTTTAAGCCCTCGGCCCTTTTAAGCCCTCGGCCCTCCAGGGCTTATGTTTCATTTTAAGAGAAAAATATCAAACCCGACCCTCATAATTTTGAAAGCCAAAGGGCCTAAAAGGGCCGGCCCGACGGGCTCGGCTCGTTTTTCCGGCTCTACTATTGTCACCGCGGAAAGAATTCAGTCACATTGAATGACCTTTCTTCATGGGCAAGACTTTTCCAGACACACACATATATATGGTGGGCACAAAAGGGAGTCAAATATTGAAAGCCATTCGAAACGAGCTTGATAAAGTAAATGAAAGTGGGTCCACTTCAGAACAAGAAAAGTAGGCGGCTGAGTGAAAAAAACAGAACCAGTCAGATCATGCTACTCACAGACACCACCTCCGGTGCTTGTGGATTTGAATTACAAACTATAACTTATATTAAGAATCAAAGGAGCATTAAATAACTGTTTAGTGCTTCATTAAATCATGATGTTCATTAATCTGGATTAATAACTAAGTATAGATTGAGAAACCGACCTCTTTCCACACGAATGACAAATGGCTCATTCCACATCTTTCATTATATTTTTACTGCTAGAAACCGATCAAATTACATTTGCTGCTACCGAAGTTTACTGACTTTGAATCTTGTTCAGTGCTTCATTAAATCACGATGTTCGACCATGATATTACATCCGAATCAGGAAATCTCAGGTTTAGTATTCTGTAAAATATCATATGATACATACATCATATTAAATACTTCCATTGCCAGTACCAAATACCTATGGAAAGGAATCAAACTGACCCCCAAACACACCCCCCCCCAAAAAAAAGGAAAAAAAGAAAAAGAAAAAGGAGACATCGCAAGAAAGGCAGAAAATTTAGCAAAAAGAGCAAAAATGATAAGAAAGAGAGCTTCACTTGTGCTTCAACAGCATAGGACTCTGTCTCTGGATGTTTCCAAACTCTGTATTCAGGTTTTACCTGCTTGAAGAAGAGGTAGGATGCTGTAATGGAATGAACAAGGAGAATAATATACATAATGAGTGCAATGAAACCAGAGGCTAACGCTCCTGTCACTTGATGACAATATTTGGGTACTTGACCACATACTGGCACCCAACCAGTATATCTATTTCCCTTCTTGCCCACATAAGCCATAGCCAATGCGGCGGATATGCTTGAGGTGAGTAATATTGTGAACACCTGTTCAAAACATCAACCCATTAGTTTAGCTCTAATGCAATTTCCACTTTAAGCCTCTTGAAAAAAATCTATAATTTATCAACTAGCCATGTGTAATATATATATATATATGTATATATGTATATAAGCTCATAAAACTGCACAGAAAAACATGGTGGTACAGATACTGTGTGGTCAAGGTAGTTACCAAATCAAAGAAAATGACGAATTGCCAAAGAAAACTTCCTGAGGGAAGAAAGAGGACGAGGAATCCGTAGACGGCCACTACAGAGTTGGCAATTACAAAGTACCTAGAAAAAGTGTTGGTATATAAGAACTACATAATCAGCTTATGAATGAAGGAAACGATTCTGCAGAACAATCAAAGAATCAAGTGACAGTGATAGACACTTACTTGAAGGCAGAGGAGTGGGTGTACTTTGCTTCCAAGGATACCGTGAAGAAGCTAAATGTTTCGTGGCTAGTGGCCATGACAATGACGGAAGAAAGGGTCGCCCCAAAGGCCAGGACCCTTAATAGAAGGTAGCAGAACCTCGTGGTTTTGGCCATGGACTGTGCAATGAATTGTGGCTTCAGGGGATGACTTAGTTTAATCGATGAGATTTCAAAGAATATGAGTGACAGAAAATTAAAGGATGATAGGAACGAGTAATTAAGCTGAAGGAGAATAATGGTCGTGGACTGACTACATACTTCTTCACTTCGTTGTGGTGATGTTAGGTGAACTATTCATCTATGTCACCGTCCATGGAAGCTTTTTCTACTTTAGCTGCTGTGTGCTTGTGTAGAGCTTCGGTGTAGTGTCTTTAGGCCATTCTTTATTCTGATCAATTTTTCTAGATATTGGTCATCTACAAGAGTGAGAAAAGGTTACAGTAGTTTGCATGTCGCTCTCAGCTGCAGTCATCCTACGTTAGTCAGCGTTTTCTTTTCCTATTTGTTTTTGGCACATAATTGTCATTTTTTTAATATCCTGGGAAAAAACAGCATGCTTATTGCCAATCCATATGCGTGTTTCATTTTCTTTATATCTTAATACGCCATTATGCTGGAAAAAAAACAGCGTGCATATTGCCAACCTATATGCGTGTTTTTGGCCATGTGTCTCTTTGTCATGCTGTGCTTTGGTCAGCAGCCAAAAAACATAGCCCACTTCCCTCCTCTCCCCTGCTGTAAAATATGATTATTGAGCCAATACTGAATGTTTCTGGGTAAACCGAAGTTCTTACAATGTGCAGAGTCTAAGCAAATTACAGTGATCTTTTCCAACCCAAGAGGCACGTAATTACGGAG